ACCATGTTGTCTTACAAAATTTATTAATCATTGCCTGTGATCATGGATTTTATCAATTCTAGTGGTTTATTCCAAAGTAAAAAACAGCAAATGGGTGTTTACAACCCTCAACACAGCATTACCGTGCTAAATTGCTCGTGACATAATACATTTTTGGTAAAAAATGGGGATAAAATGCAGAACATGTGTGCTGACTCAATCGTGATGAGAACTACACATTCTTTATTTGTACATGTATTAAAAATAGAAAGTGGCGACTTAAATACATGGTGTGTATAGTACATAGAGGTACCACCGTTTAAACGGTATCGTTTCGGTTCTTGGCAATCGTGTAAACGTTTACAAAAAATTGTAAACGTGGGAGCCTTACAAACCATACATATTCAGGTAAATTGTTAAGTTAAGTTATGATGGAGAAATACTAGTAAGTTGAAACATTACCTAGCCGGGTGAACTCGACGTACACTTTTTTACTTTCGTTTTCGATGTTTTGAGGGGCTATTTCCGTTGAACGCTGTACAACAGTGCTTATTGTAACAAATGTCACTTCATTTACTTACTGGAATCATCAATAACGTTAAGAATTATCACCTTACTGAGTGTACAGATGTTAATACAACCAGCTATATATGTTTTCTTAATTCGTCTATAGGAATATATAAACGCAGGGACATAAAATCGTTTGCCCCAGGTATACGCAAGAACTCTCTTTAGTTAAACAGATCAGTAATAAATTAACCATAACGAAAACAAACAACAAATATATATAACTTTCTTTGAGTCAGCAATATCTTAAAATATTCTTAGTTAAAACAAAGATTTATTAAGTCTTGACTCTTTTCAAGACCATAACCTTCGTTACTATCATACTGATCTGTTTGCGTGATGACATTTAATTAAAGGTCCATTATGCCCTAGAAATGCTTCCAGTTTTTCATTCTTTTTTTTCTTTTTCAACTTTCCTTAAGTTACTCATTGGCCAATTACCTGAGCTGTATTTTTCTTCTGGCAATTAGTACATTTATAGTGATTTAGTATTTTGTATGGAAGCTGGGACAGAAAGATACTTTCTGTCCAAGATGGAAGTCAAAATACTGTTTTGTTAATATTTTTCAGTTTTAGTCATATTGTTACGCTATTGAGACACGGATGTCAGTCGATTACAATTGGTAGCTCGAGCCTTGGATTCCGAACTTGGGTAATAATGGACAATATCTGTTACGGGTAGCTATTTTGATCAGCTTCCAGCTGTTGGTTTCCTTTTAAAACCCTAATTTTTGTGATAATTTATGTGATGCAATCGAAAAAACTAAGACTTGTGATAAAACTTAAAACTTTAATTTATTTATTTAATAAACACATATATTGTTTCTTTTTTAACAGTTAATTGCAATTATATTTTATACAAGAACAATCTATGTGAACAATACATCACCATTATTCCATTTACAAAACAGTTACTTTTTCTTAGACTTGATTACATTTAACAAAGTCACTAATTTAGAAATATAAGGCAGATAAACTTAAATAACCATTCAGTACTGTTAGTAAGCCTTGTAAAACTGCTACTTTTAAACAATAAAATTATAAGCTTAAAATTACTTAAAATATTACTTATTAAAATGTTTATAATTCTAAGTAAAGACTTGTAGAAAATATTCACCAAAATAAGTTAAAGTACCTTAAAGATTGTTGTTTTTTAAACAAAATTTATACTTGTACTAAGCAAGTTGTTTTGCGTGTGTGTTCACGAAAATGAGCTCACAGCAGTTTATATACTACTTAACCTTCACACAAAAAAGTGTGGAAGTTTACATTTCACAACTTGTGAAGTTTGCCAACTTCACATAAAATCATGTGAACCCAGCTTCACATAAAATAATGTGGAACTGTGAAGCTCACAGTCACTGGAAACAAATGAGAATTTAAATATTAAAATTACCAATATATTAATAATTATTAGTCCTTATTTAATAAAAATATAATTAATACAAAAGATTAAAACCTTAAATTTCCTTTAAAGGGGTTAACAGTTTTAAATTGTTGATGAAAGTTGCTTGACATCTCTGCATTGACAAGCAAACAATAAAAGGAAGCTGCAGTTGCTAAGCAACTACCACAATGCAATGCAACAGGATGTATACAAACATGGCTGCTTAAACCAGGAAGTAAATTATATTATTCTGCATTTATAGGTACTACATGCACACAAAAACTGATTTAAGTTAAATACCTAGCAATTATAAAGCCATGGATATAAACTTGTTATCCACCAAGTTATAAACACATTAGACAAGAAATAAAAATACAATAAAGCTTTAAATTTAGGTTCTATCTGACTCTATTAAAGTTACTATGGACCAGGGTATTACAATATTGCTTTACATTTAGCGCTATTTTATCTAGGTGGCAAGCATCTAACATGCTCTAAAACCATTATTTAAACGTTATAAAACTCATGTTTGATCTTTCTAAAGAAGTAAATATTTATTTATTTCTTTAGCATAATGTGCCTTTAAATGGATCAAATAAAGTTCTGTATTTCACCTTAACTTTTCTTCTTCAGTTTTTACAACAGTTAGAGTCCACAAAATAGTCATTTTCTTTATCTCGTGTTCTTTGTCTTGTCATTTTAAGTTCTAAATGTTGAAGGAAAAGAAGTCCCTTGTTGGGGTAGTGGGGAATTAAATCGAAAATGTCATTGTTAAAGAAGAGAATTCGCATCTGAAATGAATTACTTCCAGTGTAAAACTTTAAAAACAGTATCCCTTTTAATAAGTTTTCGTAAGTTTAGCTAAGCACCTATACCGCCGATTTGGATAACTTGTCGGACCTTTAAACTTCGGGTGGCGAATTTGTGAAACCAGCTTATCGCTGGGAAACAGTCATTGTGTAATCATAACAAAAATAAACCACACTTTTTTAATATTTACTAATGAAACATTGTCATCAGCGGGGAAGAAAAACAACAACAAAAGCAACAACACCACCCCCCCCCCCCCCCCCCCCAAAAAATTAAAAAAAATAAAAGCAACACAGAAACAGTAGGACAAACGTAAAGTGATGCTCTGTTTGCATTAGGCGATACGCAACTGATCTAGTTGCAAAAATGGCGGTGGATATACACTGACATTTCATTAGATTTGCACAATATTGTATACCAAGGGAAGTAACCGCTACAAGATTCCTGTAAATATTGAAAGAGTTGTTTCGCTTAGATCGATATGCGAATTCTTTTGGCAGTAATTTTTGAATGATATAAGTAAATTTAATAGCCACACATTCCTTTTGAAAGTTTCAAACTACAAGAATTTTTAGATTATTTTACCGTTTCACGATATGGTCACATGTCAGTGATTCTGAAAGAGTCTTTAAGTTTTCAATTGTTATATTGAATGTCATGGTGGCGATACATTGCTCGTGAGATCCATTCAGCTTATATAAGACTGGGGATTTTTTTACCCTTTGGACATGATTCACAAGGCTTAAAATGCATAAGCTATATATGTGTCGAAGAACTATAAAAAAAAAGAGTACTTTCGAACAAGAAGTTTTTCGTTTCATTGTGCAAACTAAATAAATAAGGACAAGCGTATAATTTATACATGTATAAACAAGAACCACCGCCTAGAAGAACCACGCTAGATTTTTTAATTTTTGAATTAAAAACATAGAAGTAAGAATATTGTAGAAAACATGAATTTATAAATAATGTACAAAATAAACTCAAAGTTCATGTCTGACCTTGACAGTCAAGGTCATTAAGGGCAAGGTCACAACTGAATCAGTTTTGTCATAAATATTCTTTTTTTCCAAGCATTAATCAAAACAATAAAAAAATATTACAAAATTTTGACAATTTATGCAAATTTTCAATAATTGAACAAAGTAAAGGTCAAATAAAGTTCAAAGACATACAATGTAAGTATAATTCCAACATTTCCGTTTTGTAATATGAGTTTTTTGTTTAAGTATAATTTAAATGTGTAAATAAGTAATAATCATGAAAATTTAAGCAAAGAATAGTTTGAATGACCATTATGATCAAGGCCAATTAAAGGCCAAGGTCATATTAGAATAATTCAACATGTCCAATTTTACATGTGTGTGTTTTGACAAAAGTTAAAAATAAACAAAGGGCAATAACTTCAAAATAAGGCAAGGCAGAGTTATATATGGTTCTTAAGCACTGCACTTCTACCCAATGAGACATATCTACCTACAAAGTTTCATGTTGATATCTCTTATAATTTTAGAGTAATGTCCCGGACAAAGTTCAAAATGAAAAAAGGGCAATAACTCTTAAATTAGGCAAGACAGAGTTATGGTTCTTTAACATTGCACTTCTACTCAATGAGATCTATCAACTTACAAAGTTTCATGTGATATCCCTTATACTTTTAGAGTTATGTCCCGGACAAAGTTTAAAGTGTAAAAATAAACAAAGGGCCAAAAATTAGGCAGACAGAGTTACGGTTCTTGTGCACTGCACACCTACTCAATGAGATCTTTCTACCTACAAAGTTTCATGTTGATATCTCTTATAGTTTTAGAGTTATGTCCCAGACAAAGTTCAAAGTGTAAAAATAAACAAAGGACAATAATTAAAAAATTAGGCAAGGCAGAGTTGCAGTTCTTGTACACTGCACACCTTCTCAATGAGACCTATCTTCCTACAAAGTTTCATGTTGATACCTCTTGTTGTTTCAAAGTTATGTCACAGACAAGAAAAGCAGACAGACAGACAAAGCGGCGACTATATGCTCACCCTTCAGGGAGCATAAAAATAGAACCACTTGCCCCTCACAGCTGGGTTCGAATCCCGACATGGACTTTCACTTTTTCATGTGATGAAGCTATTCAGCTAGATTACAGAATGTCAGTGGTCTGAAATAATGAATGGAAGGGCACCTGAGGTCTTCCTGCGCCTATACTGTGTCGGTGTGACGTAACTACCCCAATCAAACAAATAAACAAACAAATGAAATAGAACCATGATATTTTGTTTGGGAACATTTTATTCCATTTACATACAATACTTTTATGCATGCAAAATAATAGTGACATTTATTGTACAACTCCTCCATGACTCATATATAAGGTTATTTAAAGAAATTCCACTTGAGGTACTAAAGACTTAAAACATAAAACTTTAATTTCTTATATAGATCAGCTGGGGCACTTAAAACAGAAAAATATGCAAAAGATAATTAAGAAATATCCCCAGAAATAAATTGACAATTAAATTTTTGTGCTATTCTTAGCACAGTTTGAGTGAAAAGTGTTGCAACCCATTTCACTTTTGGGTCGTTTTTCAAAATAATTTTTGCACACAACTGTTTATAAAATTTGTAAAAACAATGCATTAGAATATGATACAGCTTTAAACTTTTGAATGTAATCTTATTTGCTATTTGCTTTGTTCTGAGATATTTACAATTAATTAAAGGCCAATTAAGCCGTGAGATGCCATCTTTCTCATTTCTCTTAAACTTTTTATATTTTGTCTCTTGTAACAGTTTCTAAAATGCTACACATTTACTATATTGTTAATTATATTGATTCAGTACTTTGTATGGAAGTCAAATTACTTCTTTGTTGAAATTTTACTAAATTTACTTCATATAACTGTATATTCAGCATTACTGTTATCTGACATGCTCAAAATCCATTATTAATACAATAGTAAACACATCTTGGATCTTTCTAAAGAATTAAAAAAGTATCAATTTCAGAGGCAGAATGTGTCTTTAATTCTATCAAATTATATGCTCCTTATATCATAAAAATAAATTGCATAAGTTAAATTTGGGATGACATTGGATCGTTCCAGTTTTTACCAGTGAAAAAATTTAGCCCCATCTTTTCCATAGTGTGCTATGTCAACTGCTTATAAACAGTATATAACAAATAAAACCATGTGTTCTTTTTGTGTAAGTGACTATGCTGTGTAGCAACTAGATAAGCAGTCAGTCAATTTGCATAAAACTGTCAACGCTGGAAAGATCCATCCCCTGATGAAGGAAAATATGTAACCAAATACATAGAATGGTTGTCCAAGGTGTTATTCAATATAGCATATATGTGCGAGTAGCTACATTCTATTAACCAGTTACTGTACTAAGGTGACAATATATAACATTTCCCAGGCATGTTCCTGGATGTCCTCATAAACCTGCAGATGTTATCACTACAAAATATTCCAGATTTCCTTTATCACAACTCATATATGTATATTTATTCTCAATTGCCACAAATCACTGTCAAATTATCGCTGAGTATCTAAATTTAAACCATTATACTATCCACCATGTAATGTTGATATAAACACAATTTTGTCCTTAGCTTCTATTGGGTAATCCAATTCTCCCTGAAAAATAAAGAACATACATGTACATAAGTACAGGTTTACAACAACTAAATGAATAATTTTGCACTTTCTTCCCACCTTTTTTTTATTACTAGGTCAACTGCTTACAAATATATTATGTTGCCCAAGATAATTTTGTATGAATTTCCACCGGAAATTACCCTTAACGTACAATTTATAAACAAGAGTGCCATGATGGCCCTGAGGTCGCTCACCTGTATATAGGCCCCCCCCCCCACCCCCAGGCCAATTTTTACCCAAGGCTTTTATTTGTTTTTATTTGAACAGACTTTGGTAGACACCCATAAGAAGATGTTTCATGCTAAACATCTAAGTTCTAGCTCATTGGGTTTTTTAAAAGAAGATTTTTAAAGTTTTTACTATACACATATAGTTAAAAACAATGACACTGGCAGGGCCAGTTTTGACCCCCGGGCTTTTATTTGAACAAACTTTGTAGATATTTACTTAAAGATGTTTCATGCTTAATATCTAAACTCTAGCTATTTGGGTTTTTTCAAAGAAGATTTTTAAGTTTTTGCTATACACATATAAGGAAAATTAATGAACCCCCCCGGGCAGGGCCAGTTTTGACCCCAGGGCTTTGATTTGAACATACTTGGTAGACACCCATTAGAACACGTTTCATGCTAAATATCTTAGCTCTAGTTCTTTGAGTTCTTTAAAAGAAGATTTTTTAAGTTTTGGGGCGGGGCCAATTTTTGACCCCAGGGCTTTTATTTGAACAAACTTGGTAGACACTCATTAGAAGATGTTTCATGCTAAATATCTTAGCTCTAGCTCTTTGGGTTCTTTAAAAGAAGATTTTTTAAGTTTTTACTATATGCATATAGGAAAAATCAATGACCCCCTGGGGCGGGGCCAATTTTGACCCCAGGGCTTTTATTTGAACAAACTTGGTAGACACTCACTAGAAGATGTTTCATGCCAAATATCTAAGCTCTAGCTCTTAGGGTTGTTTAAAAGAAGATATTTAAAGATTTTTCTTTCGGTTGCCATGGCAACCAGAGTTCTGCATGGAATTAAATTCTTTGAACAATTTTTAAAGGTGACCACCAAAGGAACATTCCTGTGAAGTTTGGATGAAATTGGCTCAGTGGTTTATGAGGAGATGTCATTTAAAGCAAAAGTTTACGGACGGACGCCGGACGGACGGACGCCGGACGAAAAATGATCACAAAAGCTCACCCTGTCACTTTGTGACAGGTGAGCTAAAAAGAAAGGGGCAATCTATTTATATTTTTGGCAGATTTATATTTTACCCTAAACATTGGTGGCCAACTTCCAAGTATACAAGAAGAGCTTCGACAAATCCATAACATAAATACAGAAGGTTAAAGGTTAAATTCTGATGCACAAAATCGAATACATGTACATGTGTGTTTCAAAAATTTGAAGAAAAAGAAAAAAGAGCTGGCTTCTCACCATGAGTTCCCAGTCTGCATCATTTATTAGCACAAGAATTCCTGGTCGACTGAAAAAAGAAAAAGAAATCAACTTGCTTTGAAATATGCGTATATAATTTATGCCCTTTAACAAAATTAAGATGCTAATAAAATTTAAACAAAGGTAGAATAGCCACTGTGACGGTAAAGTACTGCAGCTATTTAAAGTGTTTGCTTATTTCCAATTAGCATCTGACTAAGTTCTAGTTAAGGAAGATCTCTGAAACCCCTCTATGCATTCTCTTAGGGTACAAATAGGCGTACAAGAAGAACCAACAATCACCCAAATGCACAACTATATACAATTGCTGGCTAATTAATTCAAATTTTGATATGATTTTCCCTTCACTTACAAATGGACTGTTCCAAATTTAAAGTTGGTCAAGTCCTTTATTGAAATTCAACTTAGTATAAGGCTAAGCCACTAAAGTACTACAACTTTGATAATACATATGTAAGGCCTAAGAACAGTTTGTTTCCTATCAAGGGATAAACATGTAGTTACAGAATATGTCTTACACTGTTTCGCCTTGAAGAAAAAGTTCTGGTCGCTCTTTCAACATATTATCCTTCATCCATGGCAAAAGCTCTCGTACTGTCCCTGAAAGAAAATTAGCGCATAAACTAAAACTTCATTTCTCTTGCAAAAAAAAAATTGCAAAACTTGTATGAATAATTTAAGTAAGTATATCACTGTATAAATGTATTGATTCTTACCTAGTTATTTGCTTGTTTTGTTTTACGGCACATCAACACAATTAAGGATATATGGAGCCAAAAAAAGAAAGTTGACTTTGGCTATCCTCGGGTGTTACAATACAAACTTAAAGCAACACCAGCAGACAAAACCGCCTCAGCTGCTGGAGCTAAGAGATACACTGATTCAAGAAATTAGAGCCAATTAAGTCACCCTTTACAATTAAGCAAAGGAAACAGTGGCTGCAATTCTGATGCCTCTACCCTTAAAGGCACCTTTATCTCCTGTATCTCCACATTTTATTTCCAACTTCTTGATATAAAGCAGTTAGTTCAAACATAACTTATCATGTCTTACCTTGACAGAGAATAACCTATATGTATCACTCATAACACCATTTCCTGAAACCACCGATTTATATTACAATAAATCCCTGCTGAAACTTGCTTGTTATGTTATCATATGACAAAAACAAGGCTGTGCTACAAGTTGGGCTTGAACTCACCATTCCTGGGTTAAGAGGCACACACCTTAAGTCACTGCTACCCCTTTAAACATTTGAATCTTCCATAGAACATATGGCAAGAACTATCCTTTAGATTTTATTTTAGAATGGCAAATTAGATTTCCAGATTTTAAAATGACCAATGATTAATTCTTCTTATAGTCAGTTCTTCCCTGTATAATTTTTACAGGAAATCAAGCTGATGTTAGACAACCTGCAGCCGGAAAATACCAATGGAATATTTCATGTTTTAAAAAAATGTTAAATCTTTTACCCTTTTTTACCTATGCAAATCGATATATCAAGATAAAAATATCAGTATAATATTCATTTCCTAACTTTATACAGAGACATAGATAACAGAGATAAGCAGCTCCTATATACTCCATTGAAATATCACTCATGCCTATAAAAAAGTGGAATATTAGGCATTTTGTAGCAAATAAAACTTAATGGATGTACATCATGATCCTTTAATATTACACGTATATACCATTTGAAAGGTAAATCTTTCATCTATGGCTGCATGTTAAAATATTGGTAACTTTCCATGCCTTTCACTTAGAAAAACATGGCAGAACATACCCACTGAGCCAGTTTTTTGTCATATGAATAGTTTTGTAACAAAAAATATTACGTAGTTCTCTTTAAAAAATGATACAACATATATGTCACGGTTCAGAACTGTTCACTATATAGGGGAGAAGATGTGTAAGCGGCCGGATAGCTCAGTCGGTAGAGCCGCGGTACGGTATTCCGAGGGTCCCGGTTCTAGTCCCGGTCAGGCTGCACATTTTTCTCACCCTGTGACATTTGGCGCCCAACGCCCGTGACTGAATACAGCTCAGAGTTTAATTCACATTGCTCTGTAACTCTGTGAAATTCGAGGACGAATTTCAATATAGCAGGGGATAGTCCAACTAATTAGACTTGTCAAAGAGACACCGAGATAATTTTGGACGGGCGCTGTCTGGTAACGGTTTGACAGTAAGAAAAAAAAAGTCTGTAAAATGGGTCAAACCGTTCACGCCGAATTAATTAGGCTAAGCAGGGGAGTATGTCACGGTTCAGAACTGTTCACTATATAGGGGAGAAGATGTGTAAGCGGCCGGATAGCTCAGTCGGTAGGGCCGCGGTACGGTATTCCGAGGGTCCCGGGTTCGAGTCCCGGTCAGGCTGCACATTTTTCTCACCCTGTGACATATATTTAAATGGGAACTGTAAATATTTTTACCTGCAACCATAGACAAATGCATGAGCTTTCAGAAAATGTATTATTTTACTGATTTTGATATCTGGTTAATAAGTTTTACCACGGATTTATAAATCCATGGTTTTACTTGCTACAAGTTTTAAGTTTAGTAGGCACGCGTGATATTTTAACTGGCTAGGAAGTAGCCTATCTCAGTTATCTATGTTATCCTAAATTTTATCGAAGCATATTAAATTGATCAACTTACAAGGAGTTTCTTTTGATGGAAGGGTCACATTGTGTTTCTTTATTTTATCAAACAAAAGTTCTGCTCCACCCCTGAAAAACAATCAACAGGATAAAAATCATGACATAAAAACGGGATAGAAAACATGGCATTTATATAGGTATAAACAGGATAGTCAGAATTATTCATCTTGCCTTTATACACAAATACAGTATAATTTTTTTACTTTCTATTTAGAAGATCCGGAGAAAAACAACAAACTTTATTGTCTATATAATTTTTTGAATGATAAATTAAGTTATATCCTCACGAAAATGTTTATAACGAACCCAAATTCAACTGTGATTTCCATGTTGCAAATGGCGTGAATTTCTATTTTTAGAAATGGGTAAATCCAACCATGTACTTTTCCCGTTCCTCTCGGTACATAATTCGTACGGTGCAGTTTGTGTCACAGTGGCTTGGCTTTTTTGTCTTAATTACCCTTTTCATTAATACTAAAGCAAAAACACCAATTGAATTTAATTTGATAAATGTACTGCAATTGATCATTTAAAAAAGAAGTAAAATAATATAAAAATGGTTGCGCCGAAAACGATAACTTGAAAAATACTATTCGTCATAGTTTTTTCAAACCCCTCAGTTTGCGCGGGAAAAACAATAAATGTAAACAGTCTTCTGGTAAAATGGTAATTTTGTCCTGTCTTTTTTACTTTTAAGGTTTGCATTTGGATTAAAAGCATTCAAAATAGAAGAATTATAAATATCGATAGAATTTATGCGTACTGAGTAGAGCTTACCCATAAAAGTGGACGTATTTATTTTTATCTGCTATCCGAAAATATATATGAATCCGAGCAATACCGCATTTCACCATTTATATGAAAAGAAAGATGCTTCTTTATAATACCATTTACACGGCAATCAAATATGCCCCTCAGGCTTTTGACTTCGGTACTACTGCCATAATCACTAATTAAGTAATTTATCGTTAAGTGTTGGGATATTGTAAAAAGTAATTGTAGAAAAAATTATATATTGAGTGACACAAATGGACAAGTGGTTGAACACACAGGTGGCAGTATGTGTTTGGACACCCCACTTCTATCTGCCACTGGACCCCTACTACAGTCCTGAATAAAAATTCAACAAAATAAGGCTTACAAGCACAAGGTAGTCAGACTATTCTCTCCCTTACCAGTTCCTCCCCTGACATTTCCTCCCTGACGGTTCTCTCCCTATTTTGGGGGAGAACTGTCTGCATATTTGCAAATTAGAAGACAGTTCCTCCCCATTCTTATTTTTATAATTACATTATTATTAAAGTATTTAGATGATAAATAAATGGGTAAGTTTATTATTAATTTATACAGGTACGTATATTAATATACGTACCTGATTTATATAAATTAGAAAAAAAATAGATTTTATTGAAGTGTTTAGATGTTAAATAAATGGGTAGGTTTATTATAAATTGATATAAATTAGAGAGAAAAATACTTTAATGAAGTATTCAGATGTTTAATTCAAGCACGGATTTATATGTAATATAAATTCGTGATTCAAGTTTCAATTTTGTTACAGGGTTCCCACGCTGTCCGGGAAAACGGGAAATGTCCGTGAATTTGAAAACACTAGCTCCCGGCCTTGAAAAGTCCGGGAATTAGTGTTGATACAGAAAAAAGTCCGGGAAGGTACGGGAATTAGTCTGGAAAAGGGGAGGTAAATCAAACAACCAAAATGGCGGTCTTAGCACAGTATATTGATTTCCGCATCTTGAATGTTGATGATTTTTCGATTTACAAGTGTTTTAAGAGGCCAATTTTGACATTTATGAGATTTAACATTTATTTTCTGGTTACTATTGCGGTTTTGTTTGGAAAATCTTATAAGACAGTCACAAATCGACCTCAAGTTTGCTTGATTGGCCTGTGCTCAAAGCACATGAAAAAGATGAAAGCTCACAGGTATGGTTGTTTCCTTGGGCAATGTTTTTTATCCTAATTGCTCACAACCATGCTAAAAGCCAAAGGTATATCAATATAAAATTAACAATAGTATTACATACAGGGCGTCCATTAATGGAAGTTTGGGAGTCATTTACTCCCTGATTTTGGTTTGTGACTTCTTTAAGTTCTACTTTTCCTTCTTTACCTATATAATGTGACTTCCAATATCAGAGATTTTGCAGTGTCTGACTTCCAAATTTTGGAACTTAGTGGAAGCCCTGATTACATACATGAACTATTGTAAAGGCAGAGCACAGCCAATTGGCCACACGGGTAGCACGAAATACCTAAGTATAGCCAATATATACTAAAAATAATGTGTTGTACTAATAAAATTGTGTTTTAATCATGAATACAATATACAATTTCACTAAGATGTAATCAAACTTACCCAAATATACATTTTTGAACACCGCCCCCCTCCCGTAGCACTGACTTAAGCAGAATACAACATTTAAACATGAAAGTTGTGAAATTTTGAATGTCGAATCACCTGCAGGCAGTTTTCATAATTTTACCCTTCAGTGTGACATGCTTTTGCCATTCTTTGAAGCCTTTAAGTGGACTGAGGTCAAATGTGTGGTAACTTATTTAATAAGTACTATGAATATCTGGTCAAAAAGTGATCCCTTGAAACATTAAAAACAGCAAAATTACATGAAAATGGCACACAACCTGCAAAAACAGTTTCTGTCACAAAGTACATTTCATTATTTATAGACACTAATGTATTTCTTAGATAGAGTTAGATTTATGTCATGAACTATATATATTATATTGGTGTTGCTAAACATTACCATGAACATATTCAAAGGACAAAAAAAATCAAATAGCTTGAAATTTTATCTTCTAAAAAGTCCTTAAAAAATCAAAAAAGGTCCTTGATAAGTCCTGGAAAAGTCCTTAAATTTTCAAAATATCTAAGAGTGGGAACCCTGTTGTTAGCATCATCAGCAACAATAAATTGGTAAGTTTATTATCAAAAATTAATATAAATTAGAGAAAAATATGTTATTGAAGTATTTAGATGTTTAATAATTTTGTAACTTTATTATCAATTGATGTAAAGTGAATTAAAAAAACATTTTTTTTTAACATATAATAATAATTGATCAATGATGATATTAGTTAATTATTCTGATTTTTTAATTAGATGTAATGTATACTTTTTAATATGTTTAGTCATTGAAAATAATTAATGAATAATTAACTTGATTAGGATAATCATAAGATATTATTTTTTGTTTTGATAAATAAAAATGCAATTTTATATAGGCAAAAAATGATTAATAAATTTTAATTGCTAAACTTTTGTATAATGAAAAAAGGAGTTCAATACACACATAATGTATGCGTTAAGTTTGTCAGTGATAATTGAGGTGTTTATTAATTCATTACTCAAGAATCAAGGTGTTGATTAGATTAAAATAGCTGTGAAAAGGTGTTGATGAATAAGTATTATATTCGTATTCGTATATTAGTTATTTGGTATTATATATTGTTTCAAGTTAATGACTACATGTTTTTAAATCAATTTCGTAAAAAAGTAAATGTGGAATGTGTTTGCATACCAGTTGTTGTTTATGTATTTTCTAGAACATACTTGTTTCCACCTTATTCACTATTTAACAAATGAATGAACATCACAAGCAAGACCTTAACATCATTACAGGTGTATATCAATCACTGTCCAATTATCTATATCTCTCACAATAAAGGTGTTGATAGGATTAAAATACTGAAAAAAGGTGGTAAATTTACAAACACTTTTCAGCTGATAAACATAAAACATAAAATGCAGTTAATATCAAACACATTCTTTTAATAATCTTCATTAAGAAATATTATTAGATTAAGTCAAAACTAAAATGACATCTTATAAAAATAAAATTGGGGGAGAACTGTCTGCATATTTCAAATTTGGGAGAGAACCGTCAGGGGAGGAAATGGTTAGGGAGAGAACCGTCAGGGGGAGGAACTGGTAAGGGAGAGAATAGTCTGTCATTCCAAGCACAAAACCACTGATGAAATTATAAAAAAAAAGAAAATCCACTTTCAAAATTATAGTTATATAGCAGAGACATAGATTATCTATGTCTCTGATTATAGAAAGGTGACAAGTTCATTTGCTAAACACAGGAAATCAATTTTTTCTGTTCACGGTATTTTTTTATTTGTCGCAGCCATTTTGTATTCTGATACCTATGTGACATGTGCGATCTGATTTGACGTCCAATTTGGCTCGTCCAATCAGATAGTGTGTTACAACGCAGGTATCAGACCTATTTTAGTCATACACCTAAACAACAAAGTTTTTGTGCAAAATATTTTAAATCTGTAGATTTTCAAGAAAAACCATGGATTTATATTACATATAATATAATGTAATATAGATCTGTGGTAAAACAGAACAATTTTTTTTATTTGATTTTTTTTCTGACCATTTTTTTTGTTTGATTTTCATTTCTAGTGTTGGAAAGTCTGTCATAAAAACTAGCCTAGAAATGTCAACTTGCAGAAAGAAAAGAAGAAGATCGAGCTTGGCACCGGCCAAAATAAGAGTGTCATTGTCACCTGGACTAGGTAACAGTTTGTTATTTGTTGTTAAGGAAGGATTTCTGGAAAGCGGCCCATTTCCCTTGAGATTTGAGAATGTGAATTTTAATAGCACTTGTTTTAATCAAAACTGGGGGAAAAAATAACTACTTTTATTGAAATATTAGGTCTCATAATTATTATGTCTGTAAACTTTTTAGCCTTGACTAGAGTTCCCTTGTGGCTGAGGGGTTGCTTTTATAGGTTGAGGCATCAGAATTGCAGCAACCATTTAATCCCTATGTGATGATCTAGTAAGAGGTTTGAATGGGTTTGAATTACTGGATTCTATGCATTTCTTAGCTCCAGCAGCCTGCAGGTGAGGTGGTTTTGACCCCTGTTACATGTATTATTGCTTTAAGTTGGTAACATCTGAGGTTAACCAAAACCATCTTTCCTATTTTAACATTGTGTTTGTGCAATGTGAAAGCAAAACAAATAAATCTTACTTTTGAGCAGGTAGATCTACATGTATGTTTGTTTTGATGGCATTTTTCTTTTCAATTTATTTACCCAGAATGTATATTTAAACAGTTGAAAAGAAGCAATATAACAGCAATCTTAGTCATTGACCTACTTTTTGTAAGCACACAGTCATACTAAGCAGTTTTGTGCATTAAGTCATTTCTGAATAGTCCATGATGGACCTTTCCAGTGTTAACAGTTTTATGTAACTTGTTAACAGGCTAACTTGTTATCCAATTGCTACACTGAGATAATACATAGTCACTGGTTGACCTGGTTTGCACAATTTCTGTCAAGAGAACACGTGGTTATGTTTGTGAGCAGTTGACCTAGCAATGAATGGAAAAGGTGTGGCAAAATGTTCTATCTGAAAAACCGGAAAGGTCCATTATATAGAATTCCTTTGGTAAATATATATTATATTAAGACTCCCAACAAAATAATTACTGTTTACAAACTTTACAATGTATATGTTTTGAGGGAAAAAATTTCTTTGCCCATTTTGGGAAATTTTGCCTTATAAGATATTTTGCTTAATTGGGACCTTTTGAAACCTCCTTCATGCTCTTTTGGCATAGTACTTTGAATTGTGCTTCCAACCAATGCAAATATCATTCAAAGCATACAAAAAAAAGAAAAAAAGTTGGCAATGAAATGTGTGGAAACATCTGATACCATACTGGAATGAACTCCAGCAAATTTGACAGTTTTAATATTGGGAAATTTAGTTTGATTAGGAAATTTTTTTTTGAAGATTAGGAAGAAATAGCATATTTGCCATTGGGAATGGGTCTGGTAATCTGGCCCATGGTGACACTGGGAAAAGGCATGTTTATTCATGTATATAGCAGCATATTGAAAAATGTTAATTGTTTTTAGGGTTGCATAAACAGATTGACCAAAGCTTATCACCGGAGGAAAGGTTGCAGGAGTTATCTGCACTTTGTTTGAAGGTAAATTGATTAGATTATATATTTATTAGATTAATATTGTTTGCAACAGGATGGTCATTGCAGGCTAAAATGCCATCAGATAAAAGAAGTCACACTGAGGGCTAAAAGTAAAAACAAAAACAAAAAGCATAATATTTGAAATTTTAATTTGAAAAATATGCAAAAAAAATAACACAGAAATATACTAACTATTAAATTCAGATCAATTTTAGTGTGATTCTTAGGTTAATTTGAACATTTCAAACTAGATAAACTATAACTATATGCCTATGGTCTATATAAAACCTGGGTGAAAACATTGTGGTGAAAGATAAGGATATAGGAAAGCCTTCACAAGTCAAGTCTATGACATTGTTAAAATGGAAATATATTTAACTTTCAGTTTGCTACTGATAAAGTGACGAGGGAGGCAGCATCTGATGAAGTCAAAGAACTTATTGAGAGTGGTAGGCTTGAAGTCTTGAGATTATGCAGAATTTATTTTAGTTTGTGTAGGAAGCTATAAGTTTATAGACACACTCTCAAATCCGTTCCTGGAAGCAACCAGTCTGTATTTGGTGTTACCATTGGTGCCCAAATTGTGAAATTTCACTAATTTTCTCTGTTTATATTAATTATTAAAATGTTACATTAAAACCTTTTAAGTTGGCAAGGCACAGTGTGTAGAATATCAATAATGGGGTTTTAAATCATCAGCTATTTGATTAAAAAAATTCAGTCTGATTCAAAGATAGCTGCTAAGTACTTACTCATGAATCACACATCATTCTTTGTCTTTTACAATGGAAATTACAGGCGTAAACCCCGGATTTTTTTTACCTGAGACTGTTGCAAAATTTCTTCAGGGAGTGACACATTTCTTGAGGGTTTGACATTTTAATAGTTTTCCATGTGGGAATCTTGATGCAAAATTTTGCTTGGTCTCGATTTTCACTTAAAAAACATAAGTTGATATCATAATCTAAATGCAATTACCAATGTGACCAAAAAAAAAATACATGGATACTTGTGTATTGTTTTATTTTTAGTGAAAGATGACATATTTAAAGCAGTCGACTTGAAGGAGCACAAAGACTTTGTGCATGATGCTTGTCGCCAACCTGATAGGTACGTCATATATGTCAGTAAATAAGATTTTTTTACTGATTTTATTTTTAGCACAAAATACCCCAGGTGAAAATTGAAAAAAAAAATCTTTTCAAAATATGTGATCTATCTTGCTTGTACGGAAGTGTCTTGGTGCCAATTCATATTCTGTAAAAATAAAAAAAGAGCAACTCTTACATGGGAGGTAAAAAGCCTGAGAAAAAGTCCATAACTCCTACGAAGGACTTAATTAAATAACCGCTACATAGGAGAGAAAAAAAGTCAAGTTAGGACTTTATATAAACGTCCTAATAGAAATTATAAAAGTCTAAATAGAAGTTATAAAAGACCTAATATATATGTTATTGAAGTCCTAATAGGAGTTATAAAAGTCTTAATTACACTTTCTTAGGTCCTGTGTAGCAGTTAATATTTTTTAAAGCACTTAGAACTTTGGATTTTGTCAAGATATATTGACCATCTAAAATGCTTGGATATCAAGCTTAAGATCTACAGAACCTTGACTTTAAGAGTTTATAGTTAAATATTAAATCCAAAAGAGTCATACACAAGAGGTTGTTTTATAAAAGATTTGAAACTTTGGTTAAAATTGCATTGTAAAATTACCTTATGCAATCAAGCTACATACAAGTTGTAAACACTTCTATGAAAAAACTTCATAGCTTCAGTATATTGCAATATCTGAAAACATTATCATATTGCCAAATAAAATATTACAATATCCCAATATACTGCGGTATACTGCACACCCCTAATATTGTAGATACATTTTACATGGATCTATATGTTTCATGTTTGGTTTCCTTTTTAATTATCACATGTGTATATAGAAAAAAAATGTTGAACTTGATCAAGGCCTAATGCTCCTGAGGCATGGATATAGGAATAAACTTTGAAATTATGATGCAGAACTAAAAAAAAATCCTATTCACCTTATATCAAAATTCGAAAATTTCTCAGAAGTGTTTTCAGTCATTGAATATTCTAATGTTTCCCATTTAATAATTATTTACAGCCCTCAAACCAAATTATATGTTTAGACAAGAAATTAATAATCTGACATATATTGTTATATTGATATTTGTTTTATAAAGAATGTGTGTAAATATTTCAGGTTATTGCCAAATCCAGCTAATGAAGATATGGATGAAACCATCAGATTAATTGAAAAAAGAATAGAAAGGTATTTTTACTTTAAAACGTTCCTCAAAAGAAAGTTGGTTTGATTGTTTAAATGGGTTTTAGGTCACACCAACACAGTATAGGTCATATGGCCACGTTCCAGCTTTACTGGTGGAGGAAGACCTCAGGTGCCCTTCTGTGCATTATTTCAGGCACAAACAGACACCTGAGTAGAACCAGACGTTCCGTAAGCTAGCTTGGTAGCTTCCTCACATGAAATATTCTAATATACTGGTCGGTATTCGAAACACAGCGGTGAGGGGCAAGTGGTTTGAAGTCAACGACCTTAACCGCTCGTGTACAACTGAGATTAAACCTGAAGTAATACACGGAATCTAGGGGTGTCATCGATTCAATCGATATCGGTGTATCAACGATCTTTGTTATCCGATTCGATATTGATTCAATTTTTTAAATATCGGATATCGAATGCACATATATTTCTAGCTAAAGAAACTTCAGCGAACAGGTTTTATAAAACTGATAGATCTGTTTAATGTCGGAAACGTCAAAATAAAAGCGACATATAAAGTTATGGAAGCCAAGGCAGAAACATTTTTTTTTTCTAAAATGAAAACGGAAATTAATGTCAAAGTTACCTCCCAGTGTCTCTAACGAATGCTGACTAATTTCGTTGTAATCTCGCACGTATGCTCAGTGTTCGAAATTAGCAATAGTCCGATAGCCCCTGACTACTAAATTTCTCCTCAGTCTACCAACTTTTCACAGTAACAAGCCCGAACAGACTACTGTATTTTCAGAGGCACTATAAACAACTGTTTTGAACAAATGAATCGTGCTAGTGAAATGTCTTTTGGGCTAGTGTATATTCCAATCTGGTAGTCCGACCGGCCTAGTGGATTCAAATCCGAATTTCTTACACTGTATGCTAAGTGGATGTCAAGACCCCTCAATTCAGATTTTAAAAAGAGAAAATGCCAAGAAAAAGTTGTCAGTGTTTCTTTGTTAAAATAATGAGTACAAAATGTTAAACTTTAATAATTAATCAGGTTCTAAACACTATGATTTGCCAATTAAACTTGGCTTAATTGGAATGGCAAGGACGGGATTTAGCATGATCAGCAACTACGTAATAGCAACAACAACAACTAAAGTATAATGGAAAAGGCTTTAAACATAATAATTACTAGTCATTAGTTTTCATTTATAGCTATATGATAAAAAAGAAACAAATTGTTCAGTTTTCATAGTTTATCTTTTTTGCATTTGTCTAAATATAACTGCTTTGTCAGTGTCCTTAGGAAACATTTAAAAAGACTTGAAAGCTAAAATTTAGCCTGGCAATCGATATATCGCTGTATCGCCGATAATTCATTACCGATATATCGATACAAAAATCCTTATCGATGACACGTTTAACGGAATCATCTGCTTTTAATCACAAATAAAGATGAGAAGAAGTACATAAAGTCCAAACTTTCATGCAAATTTGTGTGAATTTCAAAGAGCAGAATTTTTTGCATATCAGACAGGATTATCTACTGTTTACACCGGTGTTAGAAAACTGTCTTACACGCCCATGTAAGACAAGTCGCGTGCTTTTAATGACGTCATTGTCGGGCGCCTTTTATGAATGAATTGCGTTCTTAGGATGACGTCATTTAACCGTTATGAATGAAGTTGTAATTTCATACGCTACTATAAGAAAAAAGTTCGTAATGAGAATATCAGTTTTCATAATTTCTGTTCTGGAAATAATTGATAATGTAATATGCAAGAAAAAGAATCAAACACCGGCTGTTGGTACAGATGGGAATATCTAGCTCTCGGGTAACTGTTTAGCGGAAACTTGGCAAAGCCTCATTACTGCTGTAAACAGTCAGCCTCCAGCTAGATATAGAGGATATTGAATGAGTGTAAGTTTAATACTGAATTTATTGCACAAGTTGAATAAAATTATATTATGCGAGCCTCTGACGAGCATAATATTATTTTATTCAACGAGTGCAATAAATTCAGTAATGAACTTATACGAATTTGATATTTGATATATTTATCACATACCCAAAATAAAAGTCATTTTTAGCTCGACTATTCGATAAGAATAAGTAGAGCTATTGCAGTCACCCCGAGCGTCGGCGTCCGCGTCGGCGTAACCACTTATGTTAAAGTTTTTGTAATAGTTCAAATATTTTCAAAGTCCATTGACATATGGCTTTGAAACTTTGCACACTTGTTCACCATCATGACCCCAACCTGTAGACAGGAGGAGGTAACTCTATCAAGCATTTTGACAGAATTATGCCCCTTTTTCGACTTAGAATTTATGTTAAAGTTTTTGTAATAGTTCAAATATTTTCAAAGTCCATAGACATATGGCTTTGAAACTTTGCACACTTGTTCACCATCATGACCCCAACCTGTAGACAGGAGGAGGTAACTCTATCAAGCATTTTGACAGAATTATGCCCCTTTTTCGACTTAGAATTTACGTTAAAGTTTTTGTAATAGTTCAAATATTTTCAAAGTCCATTGACATATGGCTTTTAAACTTTGCACACTTGTTCACCATCTTGACCCCAACCTGTTAAGAGGAGGAGGTAAATGTATCAATCATTTTTTTTACTATCAAGCACTAAGAATAGTCGAGCGTTGCTGTCCTACCGACAGCTCTTGTTCATTGACGCGCCTATAGTATAAGGCTAACATTTAGTGCGTCTTTACACTATGTTTGTATAACGCTTATGACGTCACGTCAAAATATATGCACGACCGTGCAATACCATATTTACGGAGTCGCAAAATCGGCACGGGTGTGTGATAAATTCCGGTCTGTACCAGCAGCCAGTGTAAGATTCTTATTTTATTTACCTGATTTAATCAAGCTACAGTAGTTAAAACATTTTGTCAAATAGAAAAATCTTACATGGGAACTTGGTAGTTTAGTTATTAAAACACATTTTAAGAAATGTGAAATAGCCAAGTGGTAAGGCTATCTTCTTGTATATCAGAAAGGATTATGCAAAGTTTACACCGGTGCTAGAAAACCCTGTCTTACAACCCCAGTGTAAGACTATTCCTGTGCTTTAAATGACCTCATTCCCATGTGCCTTTTATGAATGAATTGGGTTCTTAGAATGACGTCATTTTGTCGTTTTGATTGAAGTTGTAAATTCGTAAGCTACTATATGAAAAAAAGTACTAAATGAAAATATTAGTCTTCGTAATTTCTTTCCGAATTATGATTAATATGTGAAAGGCAAGAAAAAGAATCAAACACCGGCTGTAGCTTCTGCACATGATAATGCATGAAAAGAAGTGCCAGGGCTCGAATTTAACTTTTTTGGCCACTAGCAATTTTTTGCTAGTGGACAAATTTTTAACTAGCAAAAACTGACTTCAACTAGCAATTTTTACGACAATGATTTTTTAATTCCAAAATTGTTAATTAATTGTTGTTGCAATTATGTATCATAATAATCAATGAATTTTATTGAAAATGTTTTTATTAATAAATGTTGTAGTACAACACATAAATTTACAGTAGTTTGTTATAACTTGAGTTCATTCAATTGTGGTATCTCAATTGTCATGTAGGAACTTGTTGCATTTGCAGACAAGCTGAAGGTACAGTAACTAAAGGAGGTGGTACCACACATAAAAACAGTTAATGTGTTTCTAAAACATCTCACTCTGTTAAGTTAACAACACTTGTACAGTACTACTGACTTATTATGTTTATGGTCTTGGCCCATAGGGTTGGATATCTGGCCGTTTACTTCTTTGGCCAGATATCCACCACCTGTTCACTGCCCTCATTGGTTGAAAATGATGAATTCCTTTGTCATTTATGTTTATTCGCAACAGCTGGTCTAATCGTTAAGTGCTAAGAGAACATCTCCAGTCATCTTTTATCCTCTTCATTGTTGAGAAGGCACGCTCACATGCTGCATTACTTAATGGATACAAGTTACACAAGTGGATCACTAGCAAAATATGTTTATATTCACCACGATTAAGATCCTCCTGGCTTACTCTTTGCCAAATACTGAGGGGGTTCTGACCTCTAAAGTGAGCATTTCTACACACATAAAATTTTAAGTCTTTCCATTCATCTTTTGCTTTAATAATGTCACAACCTGCATTTAACAAAGGTGTTTCAAAGTGGTTACATATTACTTCAAGATCATTATTGCCATATTGTAATAGAGCTTGTCTGTTATTAGAATCTGGCCAGTTTTTTGGGTCAAAAGCATGGCAACTGAGGAAAATTGCTTCACTATCAATGTTTTCTAAGCGACTGTGTATACAATCTATGACAGACTGCACAAGCCTTCTTTTTAAAGCTAACAAAATGTCATTCGCAACAACATTATGTAGAGTTTCACCCTGATATTCACAACCATTTACAATTTTGCCCCAAAAGTCCTGTAAACTTTCACCATCATTGTCAGACAAGTAACGAAGAGATTCATTTGCAGTTTGTAATTTTGTTACAGCACTTGAGAGATGAACATCTTCTCTCTGAAACTGTAAAGATACCTTGGCTACTTCGTTTAATAGATCTTTCATAAAGTGTAAGAACCAAACAAATTTAAAAGACATCATTTTTCTAAGGATGCCAGTTGCTTTTGCCCGATACTGGCCAGCATTGCTATTATCTTCACTATAGTTCATCATATGTGCCACTATGACCTTCCAATTTTTTATAAGTTTTGAAATGGCCCTCAGTTTGTGGTCTACCCATCTAGTGCCATTGCAGCGTTCAGGTTTATTGAAATGTGAATCCATGAGTTCAGCAATTTCCTGGGCCTCTTTGTTTCTCTTTGAAGAACCCCTGTAGAAATAATAAATGCTAGTCAGAATTTCAATAACAGTGTCTAAGTACTCCCCTTTGAAAGTATCTTTCAGCGATAGTTCAAGCCTATGTGCTAGACACCATATAGCTAAAATCCATGGTGCATGGCCTGCATCCTTAATTTTTTTAATGACACCCTGCTTCTCCCCGAACATTACCGCTGCCCCATCAGAACAAAAACCAACAGTTTTTTGTTGATAGTTAGGCATATTAAACTCATTGAAGGCCTCATTAACAACCTGAGCAATACCATCAGCTTTCGTATTTGGGGGTTCCATTAATTTCAAATAATGAATCTTTGGATGAAAATCATCCAGGAGTTTAACAAGAATTACTTCCTTCTCTGAGTTAGCATTGTCGGCAGTTCCATCACAGTATATACTAATGAAAGGGGAGTTATCAAGGAGTGTTTTTAAGTTGTCAAACTGACAGCCAGCAATATGTGTAATAAATTGAACACAAGATTTATCATTGAAGTAGGTCTCGCCCAATACAACCTTATTTGCAATCTGTAATTTACATAAGTCTTCAAAATCAGTAAAAGGTTTGGCATTAGCAGCTATGAAGTAAGCAGTTCGAAATAACTTTTCCATTTTTTCTAGCTGACATTCGTCTAACTTCATTAATCCTTGCTCAATTGGTGTAGGGGTTTTATTCTTTATTTTGTGTTTGGCTGCTTTCGTGTCTATCGCCCTCTGATGACCAGCTGAATCCTTGTGAAACTTAACAGACTCTTTTTTCACATTTGCAGACCCTGTGACAAACTGAAAAGACAAAAATGCATATATAAATATATTATATTATTATCAATTCTTTTTTTTCTAACTTATATACATGCAAATTTAATAAATTAGCATTCTTTATTAAATTAAAACATAAATCCTAACAAAATTTAAAACATGTTTTAATAACTTTTATCATACTGCAGCCACAACTCAAAATAAAGAATAAAACCATCTTATATTTTAACTCACTGAAATAAATGATTAAATTAACATGATCAATATGAAAGATTTTTTTTTATTTCTGCATAAAAGGTTTAAACATATTATGTGACAGCTGACTTAATAATGAAATTGGGCATGAAAAAAATTATAATACTTTAATTTAATTTTAAGTTTAATTATTTGATGTGCTGAAAGACAAAGTTGTTGCTGGAGAATAACAAAATTAAAATTTTAATTTAATTGGACGAGTTCGAACTGCCCGGGGTACGAATTAGCAACGTAACTTTCTACTCAAAAACTTTATTTAGGGGACAGGGATTCTTATCAAATGTCAATTTACATGTAAAAAATAATAATGCAATATTGTCGCCATACCGACGATGTCTGGTCTGGATTATACACACAACAATCGGCGCAAAATATTTTGGCAACATTTCCATCGTCATCGGTTTCGTACGTTAAACTGATGTGCAGTTCTTTCTCCCATTTTTTAACTGTTTTAACTGCAGGTCTGATTGTCTTTCTTTTGAGAGATGGTGAATCATCTTCTGTAGTATTGTTATCGGAAGACACATTATGATTTGCTTCAGTTAGTGGGAAGAAGTTTGTTATTTTTCGTTTAGACATTTTTATTTTTATTCGGATCACGCTTGATTTACTCGGAGAAAATGACATTTGGACTGGTTTAAATTTGTGTACTTTTACAATTTTTAAGCGAGGTTAAGGTATAGAAAATGTAAACCAGACAGCAAGTGCGCGCGCGCATAGTTTATAACTCGGCTACCTGCGAATATTACGCCCCATTTATATTTCGGATTTTCTTGACGAGCGTTTTCCGTTTTTTTTTTTCAACTTGCAAAAAATTGCGAGTAGTCATAAATCTTACTCGCAAAATCATTTTTGAACTAGCATTTTGCGAGTTAGCGAGTGTTAAATTCGAGCCCTGAAGTGCATTAACCCCTGATATATAAAAAAAATAAATATAAATAAATAAATCTTACAATTTACAGGCTGGCGAAGGAAGAAAAAGATTGGCATGAATATTTTGGAGAACTTGATCAACAAATACAAGATGCTGAAAGGTATGAGGTCTCCTTAATGTGACATTTCAATTAGCCAATCAGTGGCTAGCCTCTTTCCTGTGACCTTTAAGTCAGTCAATCAGTGGCTAGCCTCTTTCCTGTGACCTTTAAGTCAGTCAATCAGTGGCTAGCCTCTTTCCTGTGACCTTTAAATCAGCCAATCAGTGGTTACCTTTAATGTGACTTTCAATCAGCCAATCAGTGGCAAGCTTTGATTAATACAATAATTTTAATAATTTATTGTTTGATAAGGACAAAAATTTCTCATAATTGTATTTAGTTAAATTCTTGCAAGACAGTCATCTTTTTCCAGTAAACAATTGTTGAAAATTCCAGATGTAATCTCATTGCAGACATATGTTTAACATGTCATGTCACATCCTTTATTTAAACTATCAAATGAAGAAGCATGATAAAGCAAAATATGTCTTGATAAATTGTGTTGGTTGATAAATCTGTTTTGAAGAAAAAGTTCAGGTAATATGATTGCTGTGTATTCAATGTTGTCATCGTCATGGTGCAAAAACTCTGTAGCTTATTATTCAAACATTTGCAAGGTTATCAACATGAAACCTAGGATTCCTGCTTATCTTCACAAGGTGCAGTTGTCAGACAAGGGGCATAATTCTTAAGAGTTATATTTTTTGAGTGTTGCCACTTTGAACTTGGAATTTTTGTCAAAAGTGGTTATTTTAATAGAAGAGACACTGAATGTCAGGTGCTTGTTGTATTTAATCTTTAAAATTTCAAAATAGTGTAGAAACACTTCACTGCACAGCTTTTAAGCATATTGAATATTTTTTAATTAAAAAAAACCAAAAAACAACTAGTTAGTTGTACATTGTATAAATATATATTAACATCTGAAAGTTTTAAAAGGTTTGTTAAACTTTCCAAGTTATCAATGTTTAAAATTTCCCAGTTTATAACGGCATGTGCTCTTGAGGAAAATAAAGGTAAAAATATCATGTTAAATTAACTTTTATTTTTCAGTAAGTCACAGAATCTTTTACTCCAACCATCTGATTTATCAGAAGATCAGAAAGAGGTGTCAAAAAGTTACCTTCCCGATCTCGCAGATCTTAACATAGTAAAACAACAGACAGATGAGGCCGTTAATTCTGTTTTCATGCTGGTAAGTTATGCCTGAAAATCAAATGAGCCACCCCATGACAAAACCAACAAAATGCGCAGTCTGATCAGGATCCATGCTGGTCGCTGTCAGTTTCTACTTGTTATATGGTTTGTAAGCAAAAAGCATAGATCCTGATCGGGATGTGCGGATGCGCAGGCTGGTCTAGATCCATGCTGGGTGCAAACACATTATGTTGGTTTTTAGTTCCTTAGAACGCGTATTTATGAATTTTCATAATGTTTAAAAATGTTAGATGCTTGATACTTGAAGAAAGTAGCAATAAATTTAAAATAATTTGTTATAAAAGTAGCAAAATGAAAATAAAGTAGTATTTTGACTTCCATTCAAACTTCTAATTCATTGAGACTGTTCTTATTGCCTTATTATTATGGTGTAATTGAAAGCATATTTTATACATCACAAACCCAGAATACCAAAAAAGAAAGTATTTTACAATATCTTACACAACTGTGAAAATTTAATTTGCCGCAAAAATTAAGGAGAAAAGATACTTTTTACCTTTACATAATGTAGAGTGATATTTTCACAAGACATGAAGAAATGGGTTTTTATTTGTATCAGTATTCTAAATTGTGTATCAATAGATTGATGAATATTGATGATGTATTAAATATCTCAATTTTCAAAGACAGCTCTAATTTCTTATACTTAATATATTTGTGCTACTTGCTTATTTCTCTGCAACTTGCAACTTATTTACATTTCTAGTATTTCAGGTTTGTGAACATGAAAAATATTTACATTTCTTGTGTTTCAGGTTTGTGAACATAAAAATATTTACATTTCTGGTATTTCAGGTTTGTGAACATGAAAAAGATATACATTTCTGGTATTTCAGGTTTGTGAACATTAAAAGATTTACATTTCTGGTATTTCAGGTTTGTGAACATTAAAAAGATTTACATTTCTGGTATTTCAGGTTTGTGAACATGAAAAGATTTACATTTCTGGTATTTCAGGTTTGTGAACATTAAAAGATATACATTTCTGGTATTTCAGGTTTGTGAACATAAAAAAGATTTACATTTCTGGTATTTCAGGTTTGTGAACATGAAAAGATTTACATTTCTGGTATTTCAGGTTTGTGAACATTAAAAGATTTACATTTTTGGTATTTCAGGTTTTAGGACATAAAAAAAGATATACATTTCTGGTATTTCAGGTTTGCATACATGAAAATATTTACATTTCTGGTTCTAGGTTTGTGAACATGAAAAGAAGCTTCATACACAGCAACAGTTACTTGTCAAAGTTAATAAACAACTGGATGAGAAATTGAAAACACTACAAGGTATACCTATCATCTTTCAAATCATATAAATGAATAAAAACTTATCTTCGCTACCATCATTGTGCCAAACAAGCCTGAAAATCAGTTTAGTCTGACCAGTATTGTTGAATACTCAATATTATTTATTTGATAGAACTTCTGCTGTCCAGCTAGCTTACAAAGGGTATGTGATTCCATTCAGGTGCCCTCTTGCCTCGCTCTGCTGTGGGTTCGAATCCCGCCAGGGACTTTGGATTCTATCATGTAAGGAAGCTATCCAGGCAGCTTATGGAACATCAGTGGTTCTACTATGGTGCCTGTTTGCGGCTAAAATAATGCATGGAAGGGCACATGATGTTGTCCTCTACCAGTAAAGCTGGAAAGTCGACAAATGACAACCAAGTTACAGTAGTGGACTCTTCATTTGTCTGAAAAATTTTGTAGGACTAGGAGATCGATGGCTTAGTTTTTTCCCAAGACAGGCTTATTACCAGATTTTCAAGGTATTGTACAATCAATATACTAATAGATTTTCCTATTCTTTCTCTTTCAGAACAAACGTTTTATAATATTGGCAGTCCAAGAGCCAGTGTTCAGCACCTTACGGAGTTCCCGACACCTCCAGCAGAGCCTCGTTCATAACGCTATATATAACCACATAATTATTATTCTTTCAAATTGTGTTTTGATTAACAAAAATGACAATTGTTGAAAAAAGAAGGCATCAGACTGTTACAAAAGTGAAACTAAGGTGCTATATAATATTATGTGCATATTGGTCAAAATAAACCACAAGTTTTTATTTTCTGCAAGAAAAACCACAACTTTAGTTTTTCATACGGGATTTTGTTAAATTCAAACCAACCTTACCAAATTCATATTTACTATTTATAAATGCAAATTATTACAGCTTGTGAGTGAAATAGACTTTGGACTGTGCTTAAATTTAATGGAATGCTAATACTATGGTGTAAAAATAGGTAGAAAAAAATATTTTAGCTAGATAAATTGAGGACAAGGGTGCTAGCATGCTTACCCTGCACATACTATCTTTAGGGTGTTTAATTACTTACATTCAAATACCTATATCACGAGCATGTATCTTTACACTATTACACCCATGTGCAGGGGCTTCTGTGGCACAGTGATTAAGGTAATTGGCTTCAAAGCATTTGCCCCTTTCTGCCGAGTTCAACTCCCACTAGAGATTTATGATTCTTTCATGACAGGAAGCTTTCAATATTGAAATCATGGATTGTTTATAAATCAGAACAAATTATCCACATGAATTCAACTGATACAGGGTTTAGTTGAAATATTATGCTTTTGAAACATTCTTTAAGTCCAGACTAAAAGAGCTTTTCACCACAATGTTAAAAAGAGAAACAAAACAAATTTGTACATACATGTATTGTAAGATTTTTATTGTAAATTAAAAATATTGTAACAAATTATATCAAGTTGCTTTTTGTTTTGAAGGTGATTTCAGTAAAACAGTAGCTACAAAACAACCTGAAAAAAATAGAAAAATATTATTTATTAAAGCTGCATGCCTGCAGATGAGCGAAAATATTTCAAGAAAATCAAATTTGAGAAAAATATATGAAGATTTTAAGAAAAGTTAAAAGATTCAAATAAGAATATCCCAGTTATGTGTTACAACTGTTTTTGCCATATTTATCCCCATATTTATGCCTCAGAAATCAGTATTTTTTAATTTCTTTAGAAATGTCAGATGTGTTCATTACTTAATATTATCACATATTTAACAACTGAAGAGTGCAGCGCTAAATGTGAGTAATGTGTCAATGTCATGAAGGTAGCAAAATGTAAACAAAGAAGTATTTTGACATGCATACAAAATACTTATTCACTGTAATTATACCTATTGCCAACGGAACTTAGTTGCAAAATACAGTCCAGTTACTTTGAAAACTATTATAAGAAACCAAAAATGATAAGTTTTTCGGGAAATAAAATTGGAAGCATTTCCGAGGCATAATGGGCCTTTCAAAAAGAATGATAATCAATTTGCGGAACTAAAAGCAATCTTAAGGCCTCAAATTAGCTTAGCTTACTGTAAACTAAACTTGATAACTGACTAGAAACCATTATTCTATTTCTAGAAACAGTCACTATGGCCCTATGAGGCTAGAAAGCAATCAAAGAAAGGTCTCCTTATGAGCTGTCTGTTAACTTAATTTTATTACAATATGTTATTCCTAACTTTACTTTTGATTGGAAATAATTTCCTATTTCTAGCATCAGTATCAGTTCTATGACCCTACTGGATCTGAGCCATCCCAAGGAAGGGATATAAGCTTGCTATATACTATGTTCCAAGTTTGATAATAATACCCAACAGTAGTCTTCATCCAGAAATCATAAAAACAAACTGATCTACCAACAATTCTACTAACAAGCTCACTTCTTTATACCAACTCTAAACTTTGTTTGTTGGAGTATGAATAAGGCCAGACTGATAACAATAACATTCTAGTTCTGATTAGAAGAGAAGTAGCACTTGAATTTCTTATCCATATTTTTTAATGTGTAAATTAAAACTTGCCTATGATGATTAGTCCAATCACACCTACTAATAACGGAAGAACAACAGCATACTGTCTGTCAGGAAATAAACCATGTATGTAGATCTGGTCTTCATCCACAAAAGGCTGTAAACAGAGGTGAACATAGCACTTGAAATCTGTGTAAATTATTAAAAAGAGGTCAGAACAAACAACAAATCTTCCTTACTAGATTAATAAGTCATGCAGTAACAATGTGGTGATAAACAATGGCACATGAAATGTAAATTATTAAATGTACTTAAATCATGAATGTGCTTACTTTTCTTGAATTCTTAGTACATTTTTTTCTCATATCTGGAGGTATGCAGCTTGAAAGGTTGAAAATTGAATTCATTCCTTTTATTGAAGATACCATATACAATATTAACATGATGTGGAGTGGAAGAAAAGCATAGAGCAGAATTTCATGTTTGTAAAAGCTGGATGACGGAGTCGGGGGCAGGGTGGGTAAAAGTGAACTTAAAGATCACAACAGTTTTTTCTTACCAGGACAATTACCCACAGGGAGTAATATGTGAAAACAGCACCAGTCCCTGTAAGAAGTGCAGCACCAAACACTTGATCTTTCATCTGTATGTTGGTTTAAAAATTTCTGAAAAGATGCACGAGTACATTTACAACATATTTTGAAGCTTCGAGCAATTGGTTAAGATTGATAAAACACATTTTCAAAAAAGCATTTGAAATAAAAGCACTAGTCTTGTGATACCATTCACTCTTTTATTATTAACCCTTAATCTGCTATATTTCTATAATGGATCGCTCCAGCTTTAAATTTGGAACAGTCCACTCAAAGTTCAAGGGATTTCAATATCAAAATACAAAAATTGAGCTGCCAACAGTATAGAGCCTGGTCAGACTGCAAGGTTGTCGCAGGTTGAGGGTTAAAAATTTTTCTTTATAATGTTTTCTTTTAGAGTAATGTATCCGGTTAATACTATAAAAACAAGAGCTGTCGGAAGGACAGCACGCTCGACTATTCTAAGTGCTTGATAGTAAAAGAGCCTTGATAATGTTAAATTTTTTAAGTTCACAAAAGGGCTAATTTTTTTTTATAAATTCAAGTTATAGGCCTTGAAGAGAGTCTAATTATACAGTATTGGCTTGACTATTCGGAAGGTAATGTCACAAGGGTGTTTTATTGAGTATAATAATACTAATTACCTATGAATACATAAATTTGACAGAAAAGGTACAAAGGCTTGTTATTAAGATGTTTTATTAAGTAAATCACAGCTTTATTATTATTAATGCTTAAATTGTCCCAAAAAAGGCACAAACCCTTCAGTAGTTATTGAGATAACAGCTTACAAGCAAAACTTTACCATGAATTTCTAAGTTAAAAAAGGGGAGAAAAATCAGCCTAAATGCAAGATAGAATTATGGATCTTTGTCAGTGAACTACAATTATGACTCTAAATGCATATGTGAAGTTTTAAATAAATATCTTTAATAGTTATTGAGATATGTAAAACTTGCATGTAAACATTAACCAAGAGACTAAGTAGAAAAGGGGATATGAATCAGCCTTAATGCAAGATAGAGTTATGGAACTTGGTCAGTGACATACAATTATGACCCTCCAATTATGACCCTACGTGCATGTGTAAAGCTTCAAGTAAATATCTTTGAAGACCTTTAACCTTTAACCAAAATTTCTAAGTTCCAAAGGGGCATAATTCTGTCAATATTGTAGGCAGAGTTATCGAACTTGTCAATCTGATGTACCTTGTTACTATAAATAAGTATTGTAAGTTTCAATTGAATATCTCAAGCAATAATTGAGATATTTGACTTTACAAAAAACTTAAACCAAAATTTCTAAGTTAAAAAGGGGCATAATTCTGTCAATATTGTAGGCAGAGTTATCCAACTTGTCAATCTGATGTACCTTGTTACTATAAATAAGTATTGTAAGTTTCAACTGAATATCTCAAGCAATAATTGAGATATTTGACTTTACAAAAAAACTTTAACCAAAATTTCTAAGTTAAAAAGGGGCATAATTCTGTCAATATTGTAGGCAGAGTTATCGAACTTGTCAATCTGATGTACCTTGTTACTATAAATAAGTATTGTAAGTTTCAATTGAATATCTCAAGCAATAATTGAGATATTTGACTTTACAAAAAACTTTAACCAAAATTTCTAAGTTAAAAAGGGGCATAATTCTGTCAATATTGTAGGCAGAGTTATCCAACTTGTCAATCTGATGTACCTTGTTACTATAAATAACTATTGTAAGTTTCAATTGAATATCACAAGTAATAATATAGATATTTGACTTTACAAAAAACTTTAGCCGACGCCGACGCCGGGGCGACTACAATAGCTCTCATATTCTTCGAATAGTCGAGCTAAAAACTAATTTGTGATATTTTTACTGCTGGGCAAAGCATATATTTATATTTCTATACACTGCTATCTATCTTATAATCTAGATCTTTCATTTAGTCAAAGTTGGTTTATACTATCTTTTTTGTTTGATTGAGTTGGAAGCTGTTAGCATTCTGAAACACTCTTGAATCTGTTCCTGGAACCAACCAGTACTAAGCAATGAGTGTAAAGTTCCTTGCTCATGGATGGAAACAACAGTTTGCCCCTGACAGGGTTCGAACCCACGCAGCCAGCAATTCTTAGATAACTAGTCAGATGTGTTAACCCCTCAGCCATGACGCCTCTCGAAAGTTGAAACCCCTTCTGTGCCTCATTATACATGTGTATATATATAATACATAGAGTTGCTCGTGAAAGACTATCATAAAAAACATATACATGAATACATGTATGTCTTGTACTTTTATAATAAGTCATAAATTTGTATATAGGGGTTAGATCATCCATAAATCTAACCTGGTCCACAAGTATCACTGGTGATATTAAGGTTAATTACCTTGCTATTTTATCAAGCACTTTCAAAGTATTAAATGTTCATTAAGAGTAAGACAATTATTGTATCAACTTATAATCAAGTTTAACTTTTAATCAGGAGTCAAAGGGGTCCGACACACTTGGGTGTGTTCATATATAGTGTAATTAACTTACACAAGCAATTTGACAAAAAATATTGGGACAAATATTTTATATAGTCTCTATATAAAATATTTGTCCCTATATTTTTTGTCAAATTGCTTGTGTTATCATTGTTCAGTGTTGTATATTGCAAATAATAAATTATTGAAAATACCTTGTTTTGTACAACATATTTTTTCATTGCGTGTTAAATAGACAACTATTTTCTATTTAAAGACGTTGTCAAATTTCTTACAAAAACAATTCTATATCATCATATTGATAGGTTTTTTAAAAAAATGCAAATTTGTATCCGAAATCATGCAGTATCCGGATACTGAGTATTACAAATATGTAACAGATCGTCATAATCATATGTTTTTCAGATATAGGTATATCTTGTATGTTTTTACATTAATCTTGCTTTATTGTAAATACCTACCATTTAAAAGCATAACTGGAAATATGTTTAAAAACACCTTAATTTTTTGTTGTTTAAATGGGCACAGAGTAAAAATCTTCACTAAAATCGTTTTCGCCCATCCATCCGTCAATGTTTAGTAGCTTCGAATGATATTTTTCATGCACTGTCCATATGAAGTTGACTTACAAAAAGGTTTAAATATTTATCATAAAAGCTATTCGGATACCTGGGGAATTACATTCAATAGGTAGACGATGATAATACCTTGTCATTCTGGCATAAAATGTTACAGTAGTAAAATCTATCCTTGAGGATGAATGTAATATCCTCATCAATTGGTTTAAATCCAACCAAATGCAGACAAACCCCGAACAGTTTCAAGCTATTTCAATGGGAGTCAAGTCACAAGTGACTATCATTTAAATTTTGATTCCCTTGACGAAGTATCAGCCATTTGCCAATAAGCCTCAAAACAGTTAAATGACAAAGGTTATTAAAGTAAAATCGTCTCTGTATCTACCAGGATTATCATATTAAAATCATTTATCACGCCAAACTTTAATTACTGCCCCGTAGTATATGGCATTTTTTCGTAGTAAAGCCAACACTGTCAAACTCCAGTACAGTGCCTCCGCATTGTTTTCTGTGATTTCACATCATCATAATATCTTTCATTTACTGTTGTATTAAACTGTTGTCTGCTGTCACAGTAAATATCTGAATAAAGTTAATAAATGAATGATAAATGGACACTGTGTTTAGTTCTTTTGAAGTTGTATTATGATATCTCTCAACAGTAATATGTCCTGTTAACACTGTAGAAATGCAATAGAACCATTTGTAAATGTTAAAGAAGAATATATTTCATATTCATACTTGCAAGTGTTATAAAATAAACCTAGCACATAACTTTTTACACGAAAAAGGCCAGGAAGAACCCAGGAATAGGTCCGTTGCTAGGCAACATAATGTAAATGATGCTTTAATTTTGGTGGCTGTATTCCAAAAATATTCTACAACGTTTATTAACTTTAATAGCATAAAACAATTTTTTTTCACAAAATTCATTTTAGCTTCAAAAGTTGTTTTCCTCATGCACCTTTAAACATCACAAAGATCAAAGATTTTTATGTGTATTTTTAATTACTTACTGGACACCATACATACAAAATTATGCATAACTTTGTAAAGAAGAAAGACACGACCTTCAAATTTTCAGAAATTACTTCTGATATTTCATAGATTCAGAAAATTAAAAAAAGTGAAAATCAAAAATTTGGTCAAGAAACCCCATTTTTGCATTCCATGACACATATGAAAGTCTTCTTGATAAGGTTAAACTCCCCACACTCCACTAATTGTCTTAAGTAGGTTAAAAACAATTGTCATCGAGACTTTCAAATGCTTACACAATATATCACCTAAATACATTCAAAACCTGACCAAGTTTAAGACATCTATTTACAATTGTTTACTACAAGTGCCTACAGTACGAACCACCAGGTGTGGATAGAACTCCTTGCGTTTTGAGGCTGCCCGGGTGTGGAACAGCCTCCCTTGTAACATCAGAAGAGTAGAAAACTTCAACGAATTTGGAAGGCTGGCCGCCGTCTGGACAGGTCCAAAATGTAAGTTCCAATGTCCCTGTTTTGTAGCCTTTAGTCAGATACAATTTCTCTTCTTCTTTGAAAAAAAAATCTTGTGAGTCAGATGATGCATGTTGATGTTAATAATATGTCTTGTTTATTTGTTTGCAGTATACATGTATGTATGTGTTTTTTTTCACATGTGCAAATGCAGTAATAGACACGAGTGCCATTACGCTTTTTCTACTGCCAAGACTGATAGAGCAGCCAATATGTTATCAACTGGACGCGTTAACCTATTGGGCAGATTAGCCATGTCTTTGTTTGCTTCCTTCCTTGCTATGTTACAAATAACTGCTTTACATTTTAACCCTTTTATTCTAGCTTCAAGCGTCTATATGCTTATGATTGTAATTGTGCTTTTTTAGTTGTTTTCCAATATTCATAATGGGTTGTCACACGAGTGTTTAACATGTGATTGTATATGTGCTTAGATGTATAGTCTTTTCAATGTTGCAATTCTAGGCCTATAAAAATGCTTTGTGCTAACTTTTATTTGCATTATGTGCCATGTAGTCCCATGCAGTTTCCTTGTTTTTATATACATGCCTGTTTTTAGCTAATCTATAATTCTTTTACAGGTATATGTATATATATATGTATCGTTCTCCATGTAATTTTTGTAACTTTTAAATTAAACATGCTATATACAAATGTAGTTTCTTAAATCCATGTACTAAGATGTCATCGTATATATCCAGTAACGCCGGAATGTGAAAATTACGCACAATTTGTGCAAAAAAGTAACGCAGCATTGTGCAATAAGTGGCGGATACCTGGTAAGTTAACTGGTCAATTTAGTCTTTATTGAACCAAACAAATAAAAAAAGCCACATACAAGTATGGCTGCAAAGATAATATACTTTATCCCTCATCAAGATTATTTCCACGAAATTGCTTTCTTTTCAAGATCATTCGTGAACATGATGACTTGACCACTGTTTTGATAGTAATTTACTCTTTTTGTCGTTTCTTATGAGTACAAAAGTGCGTAAAATACCGTATAATTTCGATTTTTGATAGGCAAATGACATTTACTAAACTTCTTGTGACAAAGAAAATTGAAAATAAGCTGATAAAATGTGATTCAATCCGTTTTTATGAGGTAACGCCGACGGACGTGAATAGTGCTTCGCAGTAACGCCGGAAAATGGGATTTTTTCATGATGACACCAGCTTCGATTTCCCACCAAGACGATTTCGTATTTGATAGGCGTCTGTTCTGGAACATCTTTAACCCATTACCAGATATACACGCCTTTTAACACCCCCCTATTTGTTGTCTCAAATGGTGAATGCCTTATTTAGGCCCCAACACTTGTTTTTTTTAAAAAGACCACTTTTTCAGCGCCGCCCCCTATCCAGAAGATACATCAGGGGGTTGCCAAAAGGGGATATGTCCCCTTATATTTGGGGGGTTGAAGGGGGTCGGCAACCCCCCTCGTCGCCAAGAAAATTTTGGACTTGTAAGAGGCTAAAATGACAACAGGTCGATTATAAGGTAACGTGTAACCAACACTGAAAAGCCTTTGACTCCATCTCAATCCATTGACAAGTTGTAGCACTTTAAAATCAATTTTGATGGAAAAAATGAACGCAAAATACTGATTTTTTTGACAATTTTGAGATGTCCCCTCGTTGCCATGGTAAAAGGAAATAAGACTTAGCATGTTGTTACAAAGGCAATGGTCCAGTCAACATTTGTGCCATGTTTGATTAGTATTGAAGCAGTTTTTATAGTTTTATATAGCAATTTGAACTTGTAACGGGAGACTTTTCAATTAAAACAGCCATTTTTCACAAAATGCTGAATGCACTGATGGGTAAATCACGGTCCGCATCGTCTGGAGTCACGGCAATCGCAACTTTTCGGCCCTTTCCGTCCGTCTTCGGATAAGGACCTCGAACACAATTAAAGTGTAATAGATGACCAAATTTACTTTATATAAGTACTATATACATCTATTTATTTTTTGATATCTTAATTTCCATCATGGTAGTACTAATACTATAGATACAATCACTTTTGAAACACCATACGATCACTTTCGAAACACTATGCGATCACTTTTCCTGTTTAAAGTTAGGTAATATTATTACGCTGCTTAACACAGAAGTACTTGGAATTATTTGGCATTTTTGCCAACGTAAATTTATCCCATTCTGTATGTTAATTGCTATTAACAAGTGTTCTGTCAACGGACACGTTTATGACGTCACTTTATGACGTCAAACTTAAACGAACTTTTGGACGTGAAGGTTGACATGATAAAAGACCAAAAGCGCTCTGACCACCATTATTGCGGTAAGCCGTTGTTTTTATTTCTAGAAAGTTTTCAGATTTTCTTTTATTTCCCCTATCTTATTTATTTTACTGTATATGTAATTATAAACTAAAATAACTTAAATATTTAATACAATTCATAAAAGTTACATTTGCCTTTATTCTCATTTCTTTTGTTTAATTTACACAAACAGTCCTGTAATATCGAACCAAAAGACTGTTCCCCGTTTACAATAGTATGAATACACAGAACGAATGCGGTATTTCGGCCAAACCTACGCTTAGAAACAAAACATGTAAACAAATAGTAATTTAATGCTGGGGGTTGTTGACAAGTGTATTTCCAATATATGCAGTGAAAGTCCACCTAAAATAAGCGAATTCATAGCTACAAAAGCAAACAATACATTATTTATATATTTATTATTATGGTACGTTGTAGAAACCGAATGTACAAAAAACCAACCTGTTGACATTTAGTCGGGTGTGTTTAAACCTGTACTGTACATCAGTGGGCATATCTAAATTACAAATTGGTTTCAGACATATTTTCAATCATAAGAGTACCGAAACAGACATTACTTTTCTTTTGGATGTCAAATATATACATTCGTTTTGTATTATCTCTGTTTCTGTTTACATCTGAAACCACTTGGTAGTACTTTCAATCCGTATTGTTTCCGAGGTTATTATAGATTATAGCCGATGATGTTCCGATTGGGGTCAACGGCCCGCCCTGTCCCAAAATATGGTCCGACCTGTCTTAGTCACGGTTCGCTCCTGTGTCACGCCCGCCCGACGGTCCTTCTTGTCCGTTATTCGCTATTATGTGGGTAACTTAATTTAGGTCCATGCAACCTAAAGAACAACAACAACAAATTTTCGGGAATTGTGGCCCGAAATGATCGTTTTTTTCCATTTGCTTCTAGCATTTGTAAAAGAGTTTGTTACATTTAAAAAGGATAAAAAAGATCAAGCGGTTCAAGTGTCGGAGAAGTATTTCATCAGGATCGAAACTCTTTTAAATGGTACAGCTCCGATTGTGAAGTATTTGTAGAAGTCGGATGTACATTTTTGGATAGATTCCATTTAATTCTTATTTGCTCCAGTGTTTCTTTGCTTGATTTGGAATTGTTGTAAACGGATCTGTCTGCCAATTTATATTCATTTTAATCAAGAAATAATTTAATCAGGCTTCAAAAACTTTAAAATCGGCTGTTTAACATTTCACATTGGAAGTGGCTAGCCACATGCAGACACGGGCAAATGTTCTACTTCTAGCCGTACGTGACTCGTGACAATTGCTTTTTCTTGGTTAAAATCCTCGTTTAATGACATGTTTAAAGACATAAACAGTGTTCAATCTAGAGCGCGCCATTGCGCCATTGACCCCCTGAAAAGGCCGCCGGCGCAAAACAAAATCAACTGTGGGCCCGACGGGCGCACTCATAGAAAATGCCCCAAATGACATTAAAATGCTTTCTTAAACCTGATTAAGTACATAAAAGAAGTTTCTTGTGAATAATATTAATAAATACTGAATTCAAAACTGAAGTTAATGTATTGAAAAACAAGAGCATGTTGGTAAGATAGTTTACCGCACTCGGTAACCCATTTAAAACCTTTATCGCTACGCTCTCTCGGTCCGCGTCTGTAAATAGTATGTAGACTTGTTCTTCGTTGTACCGTAACTATTACTTACTTTTGAGTCACAGTTTTTATAAGCAAAACAAATCGTCACAGATAATCCGATACGTGCGTGTAGTTATAGTTTTTCCACGGTCAAAACAAATAATTATGTAATAACTTTCCAAAGGAAAAAAAAATATATACCGTATATATTTGTGAAAAGTGCGAGTTAATTATAGAGAAGTGTGCATAAATTACTACGAACACGCCTTCATCCAATTAAAAAAGTCTTAAAGATGGAGCAATCAAACACGATTGGCTTAGGGAGTGTCTGACAATCGAGTAAATTAACTTTGATTGGTCTTTGGCTGGTCGGCGCTAAAACATTGTGCATATCATTAATCAATACAGACATCTTAAGCGTGACGTAAGAACTGCTGCCCTGACAAAAGATCAAAGGTACCGGTATGTCAATATACATTGTCTTAGCACCTGTTGACACTTTGTTTTTCGCTTGGATATATTGAGAAGAGTAAATGTTTTTACCGACTTTTGTAAGTTTATATTCTTCATAAACTAAGCTAATTTCAAATATGATTTTCCTATATATATCGGGCGCTGATTAAAAAACTGAACATTATTATCAAATATCCCTGGTAACATTAAAATAAGATTCATATTTTTCTTTGAACATTATGTAATCGCGTTTCTTTACCAATCAGTTCTTAAAATTGAGCCTGTATCAACGCTAATTAATGTCATTTTTTTTAGTTGAGTTATTTTGGAATTTTGCAACCGTTTTTGGTCTAAATATGGTACGTGAACAAGTAACTTAAAAGATACAATACCTTATTTGAATTTGATGTTCATTGTGTGGGCCCCCTTTTTTCTCAAATGACCCCCTTTTGAAAAGTTTATGGGCCCGAAGGGCCCCCTGGGAATTTGTTCTAGATTGAACACTGCATAAAATAGCATATGCATTTTCGACTCATAATAAAATCACAGACTCCATGCGTATTGGTTGGACAGAACGCAAAATTATTTTGGTTTTAATTAAATGTTGATTTTCATATTAAAAAGAGATGTTTAAATGTTTATTCTGATTGCATCTAGGAGATAATTTTATTTTCTATTGATTTACACCGGAAAAGTCATTGTAAGTTTTATTTAATAATAATTTATAAAGGTTTTATTATACTAGGGTAATCGTGTTTACATTTTGGAGTCTGCAATCTTTACTTTATTGATACTTGATGGTATACGGTATTTTTCATATATGTAAAAATTGTTTGAAAACCATTTTTATCGTTGTAATAGATGTATTATTCGTGTTTAAATATTAAAATAGTTTTGATAGAGTGTTTACAGGGGCGTATCACGTTGGGGGCAGGATCTGACCCCCCCCCCCCCAAGTGTCTATGAATAAAATAGCATATGCATTTTCGACTTTCATATAATTTTGAAAATGCTGTACGGCTAGACAATAAGTATGCCCTAGCTAGCTGTACATGAGTCATGACTCGGGTAAAGCAAGAATTTTTGGTTTTTGGCCAGCCACTTCCTTTCACATGATAGTTATATGGGGATATATGCTTCACTTTACACAATGGAGTGCTTCATGGATGAATATGAGCGTGCCAGATTCCTGGCAACTATATCGGTGGACTTTCCCAACAGTGTCAGCATACCTATCCTGTCACAGTATAAAATAAGGGTGCTGAAAACCTTACGACAGCCTACAAGATCTTGACATTTAGTGTTGGACAGTGTTTTGAGTCTTGCTTCATTTGAAGTGCTAAATATATTTTGTAAAGTATAAATGATATATTTTTTCAGCTATAAGAAAGCACAATAAGGATCAGCGACATTCTAGTAAAGGTCATCATACAAGAAGAATAATGTACCAGGATCTCTATTCAGACTCAGACTCTGATGATGGTTTTGTGCTGTCCTCAGAAACTAGTTCTGGCTTGTTGGAAGATAATACAACATTTATACCTGAACCTCATCATGTAAACATTCCAGGTAAGGCCAACAAAAGTAATACTTCTACTCTAGTTCCAGTCTGAGGCCAAGAAAAAGGCAAGTAGGTAACGGATAGTTAGTGATGAATTGTAAATCACAGCTGTTACTATACAATTATATATTGACAATCTATCCAATATTCAATCAGTTAAGTCGTTTTTAGCCAATAATAAATGGAAGAGGAAATTGTACTTTAAATTTATTTTAGCTATTAATGCTTATTCATTTTAAGGTTGGTACATTTTCAACAAGTCTTGATCTTTCTTAGAAATTCAATAAAAACGATATGACCCACTGGGGTCACTCCCAGGAATATTTTAACCTAAATTCAAACAGCAGGGTAATCACCATGGAAAATTTGTTCAAGATAAATCAGGGCTACTTAAAATTGTAGCAAATTTCACAACAGTCTATTCAACGTTTTTCAACAGTTTTTTCAAGATTTTAAAAAAACTTACACTAAATGTTATAACATATGTACAGTACAATACATTGGTATGATTACTGTTTATGTGTATAAAAAGGGCAGTTAAAGGTGTCACTTCTTAGTACCCTATTTGTGGTGCAAAATCATAAATGCGTCCAATCTTTACAGCCATTTTATATTCCCCACTATATAATATTAGCAAATATGGAAACTTGTCTAGATCTGCCAGCTGGTAACGCTTACAAAAAAGTTATCCTACAGTCATCACATGAAACAAATTGAGCAATAAGATTTTATTAATAAGGACCCCCATGTAAGGTCTGATGAATATTTAGTGGTACATCATATAAATAAATGTGTTAAATACACCTAGAGCTGACGTAAATGGTAAAACTCTGTAGCCAATACTTTATAGAAAAAATAACGTGCTTAAAAAAAATTTTACCACTATTTTAAACAAGTGACTATTTTGATATAGTTAAAGTTGGACAATTTATATTGTGTCACTTAAAACAAACAGTTTCTCATTGTTTTTGTGATAACATCTGACAATTAATCAAGTATGGCATTCCTGCAAGTGTTGAAGTTAATACAACAAGTGACTTTATGTACTTAAGTTAGACATGACATCAGCGCCACAGAATTAAGAATGTGTTTGAATAAAGGTTGTGATTGAAAATTGTTTGGGGATATTTACTAAATATTGTTAAAGACTAGTTTTTTAACAGTCTTTCGGTGTGTTGAATTTGAATCAGATGATGATCATAAGATTACAAAATGTCAACAATTTGTTTTGTCAGACTACACACACGTGTAGGCATGTCCAAGCAACAAATGTATATACATGTATCACATCTGAAGATGTGCCTAGCTTTTTACATGCACCACATGTGTAGCCATGCCCAGCTATATACATATTCCACATCTGTAGCCCTGCTTAGCTATACATGTTTTGTGTTTGCATCTATATATAGGCTATTCATTTTACAAGTATTCCTTTCTATTATAATATATTTTCACCCTATTTTGATTTGAAATTACCCAATAAAAATGTTGAGTAAACAGAATTTTGTGAGTATTTGATTTGCAAAATAAAGACACAAATATTTCTACTCCATATTTGATAATCTAAAGATTTATAGTATCCCTCTTTTACTATATATGTGAGTATAATATTCAGTTTTGAAATATCCCAAAAAGCATTATTAAAAACTACATAGCATATGAAATTTCTGACATTGTTACTTACAGAGGAGGTTGATAGACCTGGTGCCGGAAAGAATCTAGTTCCAACTACTGTAAAACAAGGTTTGGAGAAACAGTCACTGAGTCATCATCTTGCAGCTCAAGCCACACAACATAAACCCGTTGGCCGGGGTTTTGGAAAGGGCCTTGTGTCAACGAAACCCCAGCATGAAATTGGTGCATGCAAGACAAAAGGGACACCAGATACTGAAGGAAATGTTAAGCAAAGAACTGCTTCTTCTAAACCCAGTACCGGATCTTACGGAAGAGGTCGCGCAAGAAAATTACAAGCAAATATTTCTCAGGGAAAAGACAGTGTAGGACATTTTTCTAGTAAAGTTCAAGATAGGGATGATACAAATATACATGGTAAAGTTGTTGAAGAACAAAGTGTTGGAAATAGTTAAGATAATGTATTAACAGAGCCCAGTAGTCATCAGTCTGGTCAATATTCAGAGTGGGTAGAGGAGACAGTACAAAGTTCAGAACAATATACAATAAAACCACGGTATGTTCCTAAACAGTTTAAAGCAGAGACCGTTAGTTTTCAAGATGTAAGGCAAGCCAATCCTGATGTGTCAGTCAAATGGTTGGCTCAAAAACTCGCCCAGAAACCAGTGCAACAGAGTGAACAAGAAATGCAGCAAATCATCACTAACTTAGAACACATGTGGACAGATGATACTAGAAAAGACAAATCTAACAGAGATATTGCACAATATCTGTCCAACATGCTTTTCAGATCATGTAACCCATTCGCGTTAGTTTTATTTCTGATTGACAAAGCTAAAGACACTCACACTGCCAAGACTACAACCCTGTCTTTTTTCATGATGAAGGAGTTTGATAAATGGTGTAAAATGAATAATAGTAAACTAGACATAGAAAAACTTATCTCTAAAGATATACAAATGAAAATCTATGATATTTGTACTAGAAATCACATGACCATGTTCGATATGGCCGTCCGATGTTTTCATTTGTGTTACCATGGAAATGATCATTTTCTTCCAAGGATTCGAAAATTCATAGAGAATAAGAAATTCAAAGAGGCAGCCCATTGTGCAGGTAAACTTGGATTGCAGCACCATTTTGATATGAGTGAGATAGTTCTACCACTGATTCTACAGGACAAAGTTAATTTACTTGAGGTTTATGTCAGCGGCTTTCCAGAGCATCAAGAGATGCTCGTCCGATATTTAGATCATCTTTGTGACAGGGAAACTGATTTAGATCTGGTACAAAGCTCTATACCGAAGGTGTCCGGGGTGAAGATGGACAAATTTCAACGGAAACCTCTTAGTAAACTTGCTGTGAGGCTGCTTAAACTGTATAAAATACCACAAGGTAGGAAACATTTTTGTTCATGATTGTAATATATGTCATTATGTGTATGGGGCATCACTGACTACAAACGATTTGCCCCTCACATCAGATTCTGTGAGTTCGAATCCTAACATGGACTTTTGATATTTGTGTGAAGAAGCTATCAAGTAGCTTACAAGAAATCAGAGGTTCTACTTAGGTATCTATTCTTGCCTGAAATAATGCATGGAAGAGCAGCTTCTGAGCTATTCCGCTTCCAGTAAAGCTGGAAAGTCACCTTATGACCTTTACTGTAAATACAGTGTTGGTTCAACTTAAATCCCAACCAAATAATAAATAAAAAGTTGTATATATATTGTTAATAGCAGGGATTGAAAATTCCACTCCTTGGCTTGTATTTACACATACAATTTGTAGCAGGATAAGTAGAAAAATTTTCTTGCAAATAGAGTTTAGCATTTACTCATCAGGCAGAATGAGTGGCTATAAAAATATTTTTCGATCTCTTAATAGACTTGTATTTACATTTTTAAAACTTGTCTTTTCAGTATCATTTTTACAATATGACTTCAGTGTAAATTATAGCAAATATGATTTTATTTCACATGTTGGAAAAATCACTGGGTTTTACTATGAACAAAACTTTCTTGTATTTAAAAATGCACGAGATTTCAAATATTTTACTTAACAGGTTCAAAAAGAAAAGTAAAACTTATTTCTTGTGACTTTAGAAAAGACTATTACATGTACTTGAAATTAACTTGCATGGAAAATAGACCTGAATACTTACTTGTACATTTAACTTTTAAAATGTCACCCCGTAATTAAGACTTCTACTTTCAGACATGTGTCCAAATATTTCCAATGTTAGAGGTCTTGGTGCCTTGAGATATCTACTTCACAAGAGATTTATTGAGGTAAGACAAGAGGTTTATTGAAGGTAGTTATGAACTACCCAAAACCTTAGCTTGCACTACCATAGATTAAGGTTTCATTACTCATAGACTAAGCTTTCACTACCCTAGACTAAGGTTTTATCACATATAAACTAAGCTTTCAATATATATAGACTGAGCTTTCATAACACATAGCTTTTATTTCATAAAAAATAAGCTTTTATAACAAATAGACTCAGTTTTTGTAACCATAACTTGAGCAATAATTATACATAGACTAAGCTTTTATGGCACATAGACTTAAGCTTTCATTACACATAGATTAAGCTTTCATAAAGATGAAAGATTTCTTCTTATTTACTGTGATGCTAAATTTAGAATAAATGTGTGTTAATACAGAAAGGAATGGGTGCAGGGAGCTGGGAGGAGATGGTGAGAGGAGCTGTGGGGGATAATGACTTCATGAAGGAACAATTAGTGGAGCAACTTGCACTCTATAATGAGTTGGAGGAGGCAGCTAAATGGGCGAGTGTTTATAATCTCAGTGATTCTGTGATCCCAGAGGCTGTCTGCAGTGTTAGAGATGACCTGATCAGGTATACTTTCCTGTATTTAAAGCAGCGTATCTCCAGAAGTGTTAAATTATCTTTTTTGAAAAAAAGACATGTTCATGGTAAGGTATTGTGAGTAGGCTTCGTCCATCATACTTTGCCTGCTGGGTGTTGTGCATCATCAAATTCAAGCCTACTCTATAAAAATTGCTCAAATGGTTCTGGTCTGTTGAACAAGATGGCTTGCAGAGCTAAAAATAGAAATTTGCTTTAAAATACATCTTCTCCTCAGAGGCTTGATAGATTTTGATGAAAATTACAGGAATTATTTTAAGGTGGTCCATTATTAAAATGCAGAAATGATTCAGGTATGCTGATAAATATGGCTGTCGAAGTATAACACCTTTAAATGACATCTTTTTCTCAACCACTGGGTAGATTTTGCTGAAACTGTACAGCAATGATTTGTAGGTTTAAATAAATATTGCTTAAATCATACCAAACAAGGAATTTTCTAAAAAAGTCAAATCTTATCCATGTAGACGGTAGACCATACACTCTGCTCAGGAATCAATGGCCCTCTTTTTAGTTTTCGTTAGTTTCTCAATTTTAGCTTCACTCAAAGAAAAATGGAGAGCAATTGGACTTACCCAAGTGTTGGTGCTCCCGTCACATTTCAGTTAGTTTTCGGGTGCAAGTTAGTATCTTTATAACTACAGAAGGGAATGGGTTGAAACTTCCCACTTATTTAAGAGGAAAGTAAAAGGTCACTGTCCAAGGCGCATCACTCTAACTTTGATTTTGACAGAATTGTTGCCCTTTTTTTAGCTTTGAACATTCTACATTATCCAGTCTTGTTTTACTATCAGGCACTATGAATAGTTGAGTATTTTGCCTTACTGCCAGCTCTTGTTTATTTTGAAATATTCGACAAAACCAACATAATGGGTTTGCGACCAGCATGGATCCAGACCAGCGCAGTCTGATCAGGATCCATGCTGTTCGCTATCAGTTTCTCTACTTGTTATAGGGTCTGTAAGCGAACAGCATGGATCCTGATCAGACTTTGCGGATGCGCAGGCTGGTCTGGATCCATGCTGGTCGCAAACCCATTATGTTGGTTTTGTCATGGCGCGGCTAATATTTTTTTTTATAGTAATAAAGCCAACAATTCAGAGAACAACATTTCTATGCAACAAGATTCTGCTTGTGGTGACACGGAAGAGGATTGGGAAAACTCATGTTATACTGAAGCAGAGATAAACTTGAGCTATTATCAGCTTAATCTACCATTGGAGAACATAGAAATTGTAGACACACTGGAAAAATATGACAGCTGTATGACGCGCCTGACACAGCCGGGTAGTGTGGTGGGAATAGATTCCGAGTGGCGGCCAGCATTCTGTGGACAGATACAGAAGTATGACTTTTCTTTTGTTTGGTTTTGAGTATATCGGGGACCAAAGCCATGTGTTAACATAGTCACACCCTCTTGTTATAGCCCTGTTTTCGAAATTTTGTTAGGTTCTGAGCATTTGTATTTCCCAAATTGTTGGCCCTGGAAAAATAAAACACATATGTAAAACATGTAGAATTGGATAAATACCATCCAAGCACAATGATTTATTGCATGTATTCTGTATCAAATATATCATATCATGAATATGTTTTAAAATTTCATGCTATAATAGCGTCAACGCATGTTTATTTCGTGTTATAAAGTCTGCAGAGTCCTTCAGAACGTCCTACCGGGCTCTGGCACCAACTGTTCCTCGGGACACTGCAGATGTTATAACACGGAAAAACGTGCATTAAGCCTATATTAATTCAAAGTGTGTCATCATGCAATCTTAAAACTAATTAAATACAGAATGAATAAGTTTATATTGATATAGATTCAATACAATTGACTTGCACAATTCATCTTTCTCCTGGCACAGAAAAGCAGGAAGGTGGCGCAATCTAAATATATGGTATTCCTGGGTGGCATTATTAACAGAGAAACTGTTTATGTATTACAGGGTGGCATAAAATATATATTAAGGAGAGAAACTGTTTATATATTACAGGGTGTCATAAATTACATTTAGACCAGTAACTGTTTTTATAATTATGGTTAATGTGGCTTATTTACATTGTACAAAAACTGTTTATATAATACAGTGTGGCACAATATTTACTAAGGAATTTTTGTTATATACTGGTATATGAATGTGTGGCACAATATATATTAAGGAGAGAAACTGTTTGTATATTACAGGGTGGCACAATATATACTAAGGAGAAAAACTGTTTGTATATTACAGGGTGGTACAATATATACTAAGGGGAGAAACTGTTTGTATATTACAGGGTGGCACAATATATACTAAGGGGAGAAACTGTTTGTATATTACAGGGTGGCACAATATATACTAAGGAGAGAAACTGTTTATAAATTACAGGGTGGAACAATATATACTAAGGAGAGAAACTGTTTATATATTACAGGGTGGAACAATATATACTAAGGGGAGAAACTGTTTGTATATTACAGGGTGGCACAATATATACTAAGGAGAGAAACTGTTTATATATTACAGGGTGGCACAATATTTACTAAGGAGAGAAACTGTTTATAAATTACAGGGTGGAACAATATATACTAAGGAGAGAAACTGTTTATATATTACAGGGTGGAACAATATATACTAAGGGGAGAAACTGTTTGTATATACAGGGTGGCACAATATATACTAAGGGGAGAAACTGTTTGTATATTACAGGGTGGCACAATATATACTAAGGAGAAAAACTGTTTATATATTACAGGGTGGCACAATATATACTAAGGAGAAAAACTGTTTATATATTACAGGGTGGCACAATATATATACTAAGGAGAAAAACTGTTTGTATATTACAGGGTGGTACAATATATACTAAGGGAGAAACTGTTTGTATATATTACAGGGGGTGGCACAATACTGTTTATAAACTAAGGGGAAATAATTAAGGAGAGAAACTGTTTGTATATTACAGGGTGGCACAATATATACTAAGGGAGAAACTGTTTATAAATTACAGGGTGGAACAATATATACTAAGGAGAGAAACTGTTTATATATTACAGGGTGGCACAATATATACTAAGGAGAGAAACTGTTTATAAATTACAGGGTGGAACAATATATACTAAGAGAGAGAAACTGTTTAGGGAAACTGTTATATTACAGGGTGGAACAATATATACTAAGGGAGAAACTGTTTATAAATTACAGGGGAACAATATATACTGGAAACTGTTTATATATTACAGGGTGGAACAATATATACTAAGGGGAAACTGTTTATAGATTAACTGTATACTGAAACTATATTACAGGGTGGTACAATATATACTAAGGGGAGAAACTGTTTGTATATTACAGGGTGGCACAATATATACTAAGGAGAGAAACTGTTTATATATTACAGGGTGGAACAATATATACTAAGGAGAAAACTGTTTGTATATTACAGGGTGGAACAATATATACTAAGGAGAGAAACTGTTTGTAATATTACAGGGTGGCACAATATATACTAAGGAGAAAAACTGTTTATAAATTACAGGGTGGCACAATATATACTAAGGAGAAAAACTGTTTATAAATTACAGGGTGGAAACAATATATACTAAGGAGAAAAACTGTTTATAAATTACAGGGTGGAACAATATATACTAAGGAGAAAAACTGTTTATAAATTACAGGGTGGAACAATATATACTAAGGAGAAAAACTGTTTATAAATTACAGGGTGGCACAATATATACTAAGGAGAAAAACTGTTTATAAATTACAGGGTGGCACAATATATACTAAGGAGAAAAAACTGTTTATAAATTACAGGGTGGCACAATATATACTAAGGAGAAAAACTGTTTATAAATTACAGGGTGGCACAATATATACTAAGGAGAAAAACTGTTAATATATTACAGGGTGGCACAATATATACTAAGGAGAAAAAATGTTTGTATATTACAGGGTGGAACAATATATACTAAGGAGAGAAATTGTATATATATTACAGGGTGGCACAATATATACTAAGGAGAGAAATTGTATATATATTACAGGGTGGCACAATATATACTAAGGAGAAAAAATGTTTATAAATTACAGGGTGGCACAATATATACTAAGGAGAAAAAATGTTTATATATTACAGGGTGGCACAATATATACTAAGGAGAAAAAACTGTTTATAAATTACAGGGTGGCACAATATATACTAAGGAGAGAAATTGTTTATAAATTACAGGGTGGCACAATATATACTAAGGAGAAAAACTGTTTATAAATTACAGGGTGGCACAATATATACTAAGGAGAAAAAATGTTTATAAATTACAGTGTGGCACAATATTTACTAAGGAGAGAAATTGCATATACAGTACAGGGTGGCACATTATATACTAAGGAGAAAAACTGTTTATATATTACAGGGTGGCACAATATATACTAAGGAGAGAAACTGTTTATATATTACAGGGTGGCACAATATATACTAAGGAGAAAAACTGTTTATATATTACAGGGTGGCACTATATATACTAAGGAGAGAAACTGTTTATATATTACAGGGTGGCACAATATTTACTAAGGAGAAAAACTGTTTATAAATTACAGGGTGGCACAATATATACTAAGGAGAAAAAACTGTTTATAAATTACAGGGTGGCACAATATATACTAAGGAGAAAAAATGTTTATAAATTACAGGGTGGCACAATATATACTAAGGAGAAAAAATGTTTATAAATTACAGGGTGGCACATATATATACTAAGGAGAAAAAATGTTTATAAATTACAGGGTGGCACAATATATACTAAGGAGAAAAATGTTTATAAATTACAGGGTGGCACAATATATACTAAGGAGAAAAAATGTTTATATATTACAGGGTGGCACAATATATACTAAGGAGAAAAAATGTTTATAAATTACAGGGTGGCACAATATATACTAAGGAGAAAAAATGTTTATAAATTACAGGGTGGCACAATATATACTAAGGAGAAAAATGTTTATAAATTACAGGGTGGCACAATATATACTAAGGAGAAAAAATGTTTATAAATTACAGGGTGGCACAATATATACTAAGGAGAAAAAATGTTTATATATTACAGGGTGGCACAATATATACTAAGGAGAAAAAATGTTTATAAATTACAGGGTGGCACAATATATACTAAGGAGAAAAAAATGTTTATAAATTACAGGGTGGCACAATATATACTAAGGAGAAAAAATGTTTATAAATTACAGGGTGGCACAATATATACTAAGGAGAAAAAATGTTTATAAATTACAGGGTGGCACAATATATACTAAGGAGAAAAAATGTTTATAAATTACAGGGTGGCACAATATATACTAAGGAGAAAAAATGTTTATAAAATTACAGGGTGGCACAATATATACTAAGGAGAAAAAAATGTTTATATATTACAGGGTGGCACAATATATACTAAGGAGAAAAAAAACTGTTTATAAATTACAGGGTGGCACAATATATACTAAGGAGAAAAAAATGTTTATAAATTACAGGGTGGCACAATATATACTAAGGAGAAAAACTGTTTATATATTACAGGGTGGCACAATATATACTAAGGAGAAAAAACTGTTTATAAATTACAGGGTGGTACAATATATACTAAGGAGAAAAAACTGTTTATAAATTACAGGGTGGCACAATATATACTAAGGAGAAAAAATGTTTATATATTACAGGGTGGCACAATATATACTAAGGAGAAAAAATGTTTATAAATTACAGGGTGGCACAATATATACTAAGGAGCAAAAATGTTTATATATTAAAGGGTGGCACAATATATACTAAGGAGGAAAACTGTTTATATATTAAAGGGTGGCACAATATATACTAAGGAGGAAAACTGTTTATATATTAAAGGGTGGCACAATATATACTAAGGAGAAAAAATGTTTATAAATTACAGGGTGGCACAATATATACTAAGGAGAAAAAATGTTTATATATTAAAGGGTGGTACAATATATACTAAGGAGGAAAACTGTTTATATATTAAAGGGTGGTACAATATAAACTAAGGAGAAAACTGTTTATATATTAAAGGGTGGTACAATATAAACTAAGGAGAAAACTGTTTATATATTACAGCTCGGCACAATATACTAAGGAGAAAAAACTGTTTATATATTACAGGGTAGCATTATTACAGTTGGCAGTGAAGGACAGAGTATTCCTCCTGGACTTGGTATCCCTGGACAAATTATTTACAGAGAAGATGTGGCAAGAATTTGCTCAGTCTTTCTTCTGTTCAAGTGATGTACTCAAATTGGGTAGGAAGTTAATTTTTTATGAGTTCACACTTTCATTTCAACATTTCTTTTGTTAAAAATACAACTTTATTAGAGCAACAATCCTCCATATTTGATAAGTTATGTGACTTATGTCCTTTGATTACTGTCTCAGTCTCTTAGTTTTGTAGTTAGGAAACGGTTTTGCAGTATTAAAAATTAATTTATTGAGAAAAAACAGCAAAAATACATTTTAATTAGTTATACAGCCAAAACATTTTATATCTTTATGTAAAATGTTCATGTGTTTACAATATCATAGGACATTCTGTATTACAACTCTTTTGAGAGCTGATCTTAAGGTTATGGAAAAAGCATAATTTTACCTTTCATAAATTTTGTAAAAAAGGAATGCTACATTACTTAGATATAGCTTTATACATTTTAAAAGTGATTTCTTTTTTAATAAGTCCATTTTATTTTTATCGTATTTTATCATACAATTTCATTTCATTTCAGGTTATGGGATAGAATCAGATTTGAAGATGATACTTAGAACATTTCCATGTATTAAAGAGAACATGTTAGGCGTGAAGAGGATTATTAATTTGGAACTCCTTGCAAAAAAGGTTATATTTATATTAATTTTCGTTTTAGCTCACCTGTCACAAAGTGTCAGGGTGAGCTTTTGTGATCGCTTTTCCTCCGGTGTCCATCTGGCCTCCATCCGTCCGTAAACTTTTACTTTAAATGACACCTCCTCATAAACCACTAAGCCAATTTCATCCAAACTTTACAGGAATGTTCCTTTGGTGGTCACCTTTAAAAATTGTTCAAAGAATTTAATTCCATGCAGAACTCTGGTTGCCATGGCAACCGAAAGAAAAAACTTTAAATATCTTCTTTTAAAGACCCAAAGAGCTAGAGCTTAGATATTTGGCATGGAACATCTTCTAGTGAGTGTCTACCAAGTTTGTTCAAATAAAAGCCCTGGGGTCAAAATTAGCCCCACCCCAGGGGGTCATTGATTTTCCCTATATGCATATAGTAAAAACTTAAAATAAAATTCTTTTAGTTTTAAAGAAGCTAAGATATTTAGCATGAAACATGTTCTAATGGGTGTCTACCAAGTTTGTTCAAATAAAAGCCCTGGGGTAAACATTGGCCCCGCCCTGGGGAGGAAGGTCATTGTTTTTCATTATATGTGTGCAGTAAAAACTTAAAAACTTAACATCATGAAACATCTTCTAATGGGTGTCTTCCAAGTTTGTTCAAATAAAAGCCCTGGGATTTAAACTGGCCCGGCTCCGGGGGCCTATATACAGGTGAGTGACCTCAGGGCCATCATGGCCCTTTTGTTTATCAAGTTATGTTTTGTCAAGTCAAATGACTGGTTATAAATTAGTACATGTAGGTTGATTGCTTAGACGTGGAAATCTGTGAAATGGATTTTCCAATGCATTTAAAATGATATAGCCAGGTTGTGAATGATCTTGAAAAGTAAACATATTCCTGGAAATATAGGACACATGGGTTATTTTTTCATTTTTTTGTATAGTAAAATTAAGAAATAATATATCAAAAACAGTGATTTTATTGCTCAATAACATCACTGTTTGGAGTTTTGATGAGAGGAATAATATCACGAGGGCGTAGCCCGAGTGATATAATGATGCGCATCTGAACGACAAACAGTGATTTTACCAAGCGATAAAATCACTGTTTCGGATATATTATTTCAATTTTAACACATCAACAAAAAAAATAATAAAATGCTGCTGTACCTGATATTAACCTATATTGCGCCTGATTTGTTTCCAAACTTATTTTCAGCGCGTCACATTTTTAGGGGTTACGTATTTGTATAATGATTATATCACATGTGTAAATATTACACGTCAAACTGTTATTTTATTGCATAATAACACACACTTTCGGTTCTTCTTTGTTCAATGGGGAAAAATGCGGGTGGTGTTAGAATATAAATTTATAAACAAATATGGGAAACTATAGTTAATGTTACCTTTACCTGTTCACTGAGGATATTTCAGTGACAGATAAAGTTTTGATACTTTTTGTACGCCACAGTTTGTGTTGAAAGATATATCCCCCGTGTTTGATGAGGACGATGACAGCGATAAAGTACGTAAACCAGACGGTGCCGCTGTCGATGATGACAACAGTGACTCTACAGGTAAGTACTTACAAATATTTGTTGTTTTAATTAAAGCCTTATATGTCAAGAATCAGGGGAAAGGTTTTAAATTATTGTATGAGATGTTTTAAGAGAATTATGAAATGATTGTAAGTTTATAGAACCTGAGCGGTTCTAGTCGCTAGACAAGAGTTAAATTGATGTTCTTAATTAAATGTGAATTAAAAGAAATAATGTTGGTTTAAGCAGTGAATATCTACTATTGACACTGATTTTGAGTTTTGATGCGTAAGAATATAATTTGACACGAAGATTTCAAACTCTTCAAATATTTCGATTAAAACAGCATTGAAGAAACTGGAACTGGTCCTATAGTTGAACTTGTTACTTGAGTGTATTGTGAAACAATCTGAAAGATTCTAATTGAAACATAAATTTGATTACTATTTGTATCAGAATACACAATGATAGATGTGCTCACTGAACAATTTGTGTCAGAGATGTTAAAAGTCTGAGGCATTGACTTAAACTTTTCTCTTAGAGTCTATATATTATTATCTTCTTGAAAGTGTATATTAAGTTAAACTCCTGTCACATTATAAAAAAAACATATTGAGGGTAATGATTTTCATTGAAAACTGTCAAAAAATGTGATATTGCTGTTTATATTGTCAGGTTTTAGTGCAACTGCAGAGAAAGGTCTGAGTGAGGTTGTAAGAAAGTGTTTTGGTAAACCATTAAATAAGTCTGAACAAATGTCAGATTGGGAGCGAAGGCCACTTCGTGTGCAGCAAATACGTTATGCTGGTAAGTTGAATGTTTGATACAAGATAGTATATCTATCATAAGCATTTGAAAGACTCAGAGTATCATTTTCCATGTGTTCTAGAGAATAAATAAGCTTCTCTTGACAAGGAGCATGTGAAAACATAATGCTCAGATGGAAGACAGGTTTTCCCATTATATTAAACCTTGGAAGATGGCCATATCACTTTTAAAATTTCAGAGTGGCTCAGGACAGTGTAACACCTTTCTTTAAGCACTAAATATGACAACAAAAATAGATTTATTAAATTTAGTTCAGTTAAGTACAAAAGATTTACGAGAAAATATATTTTTTGTTTAATGTTATTCCAGCACTAGATGCTTACGTTCTTTTGGAACTATATGAGGTATTGCTGCAGTTGTCAAAGCAACAAAATTCTAATATTGATATGGAGCCTATGATTTCTATGAAATGGTTAAAACCAAGTAAAAACGAGAAACGTCGTGCCAAGCAGAGAGGTGACCATAAACAAAAAGCACCAAAAAAATTGGTAAATGTATAGCAAATATATTATCAGTCAGTATTTATGAGGACATTTTTTTGTGATTTTCCTCTAGAAATTTTAATGACTTTTGAAAACATTGTTGAATTAATTTTATTCAATTGTTGCACTTAACAGACAAGCATTCCACCCACAAAACAACTGGCACAAAGATAAAATCTAGTTCTGGCCTTATGAGGTCTTGACACTAGCGTGAATCGATTTTGATAACAAACATGGCAACATTTTTATTCTGAAAATTTCACTTTAAATAAAAAACAACAACAAAAACAAAAAATGAATGTAAATAATTGAAAACTTGTCATGACTTTGAGATTTTTTGTTAATAATTTTTCAGCCAGTGCAACATGACTGAGATTTTTTGTTCGTAATTTTTCAGCCAGCGCGGCAAACTCCTGTATCAGGTGAACCAAGTTCTCCAAAGTCACTTAGAGTGGTTGTTGACACCATGTTATCTGGACTTGGAAAGCAGTTAAGAAGTTGTGGGGTAGATGTGTACATAGTAGAACCATATGCTGATCATGACAGGGCTGTTCAGGTGATTTTTTAATTTATATGGGTATTTATTGGCTAAATTATGCTAAATCTAGTAATAAATATGGTACCTGATAAGTGTAATAAAATCAAAACTAGACAGTAAAAGTGTTTCATATCTTACAAGATCAACCAATATACTTCTTTAAAAATCAAGGAAATTTTGAAAACAGGCACTCATGTGGCTAAATTTTAAGGATTGTTTTAATTAGGCTCCCTAAGTAGAAAGATGGTCAGACACGTAAAAATGGGTGGGGTAGGGTAACATTTTTATACAGATTTCATAAATTTTAAGTAGAAACCATAATTTTGTTTTATGTGGATTGTTAGCTGAATGGTACTATTTATATCTTACCAAAAATTAATGGGAAAACATTTTTCATTAGAATGTTATTGCATATTATTTAAAGGTTTCTTATTTCTAAAAAGGGCCCTCATAACATCCTAGCTTGAGTTCAGAAAAGTGGCCATAACTTGATTCCCGTACGGTAAACTTTGTTTAAATTTTGCATACAGGTGTACTTTAAGGTATATATCTGACCTATGATGCCATTTTTTTAGTTCCTTATAGTGCCCATTAGGGTGGTAATACCTTATGTAAAGCCTCTTGCTCAAAGAAACAACAGCTTGCCCCTGGCAGGGTTGAACCTATGCGATCAGCAATCTTTAGATTTCTAGTACGATGTGTTAACCACTTAGCCAGACGGCCACTTCACCACTCGGCACGCCGCCACTTCACCACTCCGCCTTGCCGCCACTTCACCACATGGCCTTGTCATCTTTAAAGCGACAATCCAAGTATAAACTGTGAATGAACTGGAATAGGACACAATAACTTTAATTTTGTCATTTTTATTATTTTCAATTTATTATTTTCTTTTTACATTAACTATTGAAAATTCACATGGGCCATGGTTATTTCTATTAATATCCTATCTAAGTTTATGTTGACGTTCATTTGGTAAAAATCAGTAAGGCAGTCTTTAATGATTTTAAGCAATTTTAGTCTGATTTTTTTCCAAAAATGTCCATATTTTGCATTTTTTTGCTGATTTTTGCTATTAGTGGCTATAAATTTGCTATAATGAATGGATTGCCTTCAAACTTGAACATAATTATCTTTTAGGATAGAAAGTTTACTAGACAAATCTTTGTAATATTTTATACTTATCATTTGTCATTATCAAGTTGGGGTCAATCCCCATTTCCATAATCAGTTTTTAGCTCGTCTTTTTTTTTATTTAAGAAAAAAAATGGAGGTATTGTTAGAGATGTTTGCGTTCCTGTTGTTGTCCGCATAATTTAACCTGATCATAACTTTTTATAAACTAGTATTGTCAACACTGGAATAATTGTATTTGCCAACCATGTAGGAGTAGGGAGTAGGGTCATATAGACTCTCCTTTGTCTGTCTGTTTGTTGGTAGGCTGACAAAATACTGAAATGTGAGGGCATATGTGTCCTATGCAACATAGTTTATTATTTTCTACTTTACATAACTACAAGGAATTGTTATGCTTCCCAAAGGCTGAGCATATAGTCGCCGCTTTGTCCGTCTTTCCGTCTGTCTGCTATTTCTGACCCAAACATTACTTTGAAACAACAAGAGGCATCAATACGAAACTTTGTAGGTAGATAGATCTCATGTAGTAGAAGTGCAGTGCAAAAGAACCATAACTCTGTCTTGCCTAATTTTGGAATTATTGCCCTTTGTTCATTTTTACACTTTGAACATTGTCCGGGACATAACTCTAAAAGTATAAGAGGTATCAACATAAATTCTTGTAGGTAGATAGATCTCATTGGATAGAAGTGCAGTGCATAACTTTGCCTTGCCTAATTATGAAGTTATTGCCCTTTGTTTATTTTTACACTTTGAAAGGGACATAGAGAAGTATCAAACTGAAACTTTGTAGGTTGATTGATCTCATTAAATAGAATTGCAGTGCAAAAGAACCTTTACTCTGCCTTGCCTAATTTTGGAGTTATTGCCCTTTGTTCATTTTTAAACTTTGAACTTTGTCTGTGACAAAACTCTTACACTACAATAGGAATACTTTCCTGTGTCCAAAACCACTACAAAAGGTATACTTTCCTGTGTCCAAAACCACTACAAAAAGTATACTTTCCTGTGTCCAAAACCACTACAAAAGTTATACTTTCCTGTGTCCAAAACCACTACAAAAGGTATACTTTCCTGTGTCCAAAACCACTACAAAAGGTATACTTTTTTGTGTCCAAAACCACTACAAAAGGTATACTTTCCTGTGTCCAAAACCACTACAAAAGGTATACTTTCCTGTAGGGGTGTGGATCGTCGGATAAGTGACGATCCGATCCGAACCATGATTCAGCACTTACGATTCACAAATCGAACCACAAATCTTTTGTTATCAAGACACCCATAAAAACATGTACATAAGTTATAAATTTATAAAAACATGTTTATTTAAAAAAAAACAAAAAAACAATACTTACAATTAAACATATAAAATATAAACTAGATTTATGTTTTTTTATTCTTTGGATGAGTACTTTTTTTAAACCAATAACTTCCTAGCTCAGCATTATGGTTCGTGGTCTTTAACCGGCAAATTGTATTTAGGTAAACTTCATATAATTTATACTCAAATCGTATTTTTCTCGATTTTATGAGTGTGAGAAACAGTGAATGTATATAAAAAAATTAGATCGCGATCCATGATCTCTGGGCTTACGAATATTCAAACTCGATTTTTCACTTTGATTCGTGATTATCCGAGTACTCGGATACTCGCCCCAGCCCTACTTTCCTGTGTCCAAAACCACTACAAAAGGTATACTTTCCTGTGTCCAAAACCACTACAAAAGGTATACTTTTTTGTGTCCAAAACCACTACAAAAGGTATACTTTCCTGTGTCCAAAACCACTACAAAAGGTATACTTTCCTGTGTCCAAAACCACTACAAAAGGTATACTTTCCTGTGTCCAAAACCACTACAAAAGGTATACTTTCCTGTGTCCAAAACCACTACAAAAGGTATACTTTCCTGTGTCCAAAACCACTACAAAAGGTATACTTTCCTGTGTCCAAAACCACTACAAAAGGTATACTTTCCTGTGTCCAAAACCACTACAAAAGGTATACTTTCCTGTGTCCAAAACCACTACAAAAGGTATACTTTCCTGTGTCCAAAACCACTACAAAAGGTATACTTTCCTGTGTCCAAAACCACTACAAAAGGTATACTTTCCTGTGTCCAAAACCACTACAAAAGGTATACTTTCCTGTGTCCAAAACCACTACAAAAGGTATACTTTCCTGTGTCCAAAACCACTACAAAAGGTATACTTTCCTGTGTCCAAAACCACTACAAAAGGTATACTTTCCTGTGTCCAAAACCACTACAATAGGTATACTTTCCTGTGTCCAAAACCACTACAAAAGGTATACTTTCCTGTTTCCAAAACCACTACAAAAGGTATACTTTCCTGTGTCCAAAACCACTACAAAAGGTATACTTTCCTGTGTCCAAAACCACTACAAAAGGTATACTTTCCTGTGTCCAAAACCACTACAAAAGGTATACTTTCCTGTGTCCAAAACCACTACAATAGGTATACTTTCCTGTGTCCAAAACCACTACAAAAGGTATACTTTCCTGTGTCCAAAACCACTACAAAAGGTATACTTTCCTGTGTCCAAAACCACTACAAAAGGTATACTTTCCTGTGTCCAAAACCACTACAATAGGTATACTTTCCTGTGTCCAAAACCACTACAAAAGGTATACTTTCCTGTGTCCAAAACCACTACAATAGGTATACTTTCCTGTGTCCAAAAACCACTACAAAAGGTATACTTTCCTGTGTCCAAAACCACTACAAAAGGTATACTTTCCTGTGTCCAAAACCACTACAAAAGGTATACTTTCCTGTGTCCAAAACCACTACAAAAGGTATACTTTCCTGTGTCCAAAACCACTACAAAAGGTATACTTTCCTGTGTCCAAAACCACTACAAAAGGTATACTTTTTTGTGTCATAAACCTATTCGGGGAGCATCACCCTGTTCAACCGGTTCTTGTTAATGCAGCTTTGATATTCATGATTTAACTTTTATCTTTACAGATATCCAGGAAAGAAAATAGAATTGTTCTTACAAGTGGATTACCCTATGATATGGTAAAATATCTTCTTATTGTAAGATTAATACAATAAAATATTGATATAGCATGACACAGGTTTTATTCTATGATTTTAGTGTATTTACAGTTGAAATTCTATACGGAATATATGAGCTGCGTCATGACAAAACCAATATAGTGCGTTTGCGACCAGCATGGATCCGGACAAGATCCAAGTAGTCTGATCAGTATCTATGCTGTTCGCTTACAAATTGTATAACAAGTAGAGAAACTGATAGCAAACAGCATGTATCCTGATCTAAGTGCGCAGATGCGCAAGCTGGTCTGGATCCATGCTGGTCGCAAACCCATTATGTTGGTTTTGTCATGACCCAGCTCAATTATTAAGTTTGTTTGTTTGAGTTTTAAATAAATGAACAAAGATAACTATTGAGTGTGGCAGATAGCATTCTATATCACAGATAATTTTATTAAAGCAATGATAAATAAATCTGTTTAAACTTAATGAATCTCTAACATAACTTTGAGTAAGGTATAGATTTAGCTTGAGGACCACGTATAAATGTGCTTATACCGATATAAACTCAAATGATTTCAAACTATGATGTCTGTAGATTGAGTTATCTTAAGGGTTACAATGATAATTTCTACTTTGCAAATGTTTCTTATTTCACCAGGAATCTTTGAAATGAAGAAAATATTTAACTGGCTATATGAATAGATCATTTCGGTGTTTGTTTTACTTTGAATCCAACCTTGTATATATAATTCTCAGACAAGCAACTGGCGATTAGAGCTGCGTTTTGAAAGCGTGGACATGCACATCCATTTTGTCATTTTGATATGTTTTTGTTCATAAAATCATCAAAGATAAGAGATAAATAAGTCAACATGTGTAGGCATTTAGTTTTAACAGTCTTTTTGTATCTAAACATGAGACTATAGAAATGTATGAATATAATTATTTACAATATTAGAATTAATATATGATTTAAGCACCGGGGATTAACAATCTGCATCAATTCACGAATTCGAAAACCTTGCTCAACACAGTATTCCGGTACTTTCTGTACATAGCTCTGGGAAATTCACCTAATTGAGTGTAATAACGAACTTTATGTTTTCGGCCTGTTTTTAATTAAATTGAAATAAAAAAAGTTATTTTTTTGAAAGAAAATAATTAAATATGAATGAATGAATAATTCTGTACAAAAAATAAAGTTAATACATAAGTTTACGCAGAAAATATCTATTTATTATGGAAATATCACTATGACTGTTTTAATTTTATTGATTTTCATTATAAACCATTAATATTTTGAAAACAATTGGCAATAAATATTAAGGAACATTGATTATTTCCAAACACATCAAGTTGTTTCACCTTAAACGGTAAAGTAATGATAGAAAAATAGAAATATCATGTAGCTGTGTTATGTACTTCATTTGGTATAAATTTCCCCAGAGCTAAATCCGTAACATACCGGAAAACAGTGTCTAGCTAGGTTTTCGAAAAGGTCAATTGGACGCCAACACAAGATTGTTTATCTTGTCAGTAGCTGCTTATCATATATATTATGTCCAGGATCACACAACTGAATGGATAAAGAACAATATGAGCCGCGTCAGGACAAAACCAACATAATGCGTTTGCGATCAGCATGGATCCAGACCAGCCTGCGCATCCGCGCAGTCTGATCAGGATCCATGCTGTTCGCTTACCAACCCTATTACAAGTAGTGAAACTAGTAGCGAACAGTATGGATCCTGATCAGACTGCGCGGATGCGCAAGCTGGTCTGGATCCATGCTGGTCGCAAACCCACAATGTTGGTTTTGTCATGATGCGGCTCAGATTATGGTTGATAACTTTTACAGATTGTTGGTCAAGTAGGTTATGAGATGTGCTACAATGTAATGTGTGATACAGCCAAAGACCAGGTCATAGAAGTTTTAAACCATTTCAACATCAGGGTACAACAACACGATATCTTTAGCAGATGTCAGGTCAGTTCTTTTTCTGTCTGCTTTCTTATCATTCCCATGTGCCTTTTATAATTAAATTTTGTTTTTAGAATAACATCATTTTGTCATTATGATTGAAGTTGTAAATTCATAAGCTACTTTAAGAATGAAAGTGCTTAAATGAAAATATTAGTTTTGTTATTTCTTTTCGTAATAACATTAATTTGTAATATGCAAGACAAAGAGACACATGCTGTCGTGACAGACTGGAATATCTAGCAATCGGGTAACTGTTTAGCGGAAACTCAGCAGAGCCTTGTTACTGGCATAAACAGATACCCTCATGCTAGATATTCCGGTTTGTAACGGCAGCCGACGTAATATCCTTGTAATAGTACAGTACAGTTCATAATATTTGGGGAGATTTGGATTCTTTTATGTGAGGATGCTAACAAGCTAGCTTATGCAACATCCGTGGTTATACTAACATGTCCGTTTGTGCCTGAAATAGTGCAGGGTGGGAACTTGAGTTCTTCCTCCACCAATAAAGCTAGAAAGTCACCATATGGCCTTAACAGTGTTTGTGCAATTTGAAACCTAAACAAACAAATAATAAAAAATATAATATAATGATTATTCCTTTAGTTGCATTACATTGAAGTATTCAATAATCAAACAATTAATAATCTTTACAGGTGTGTAATGGAGATGTCTACCTGACCATACCTTCCAAAGACATGGAGCTGTTAGCCCAGCGTAAAGTCCAAATGATCTCAGGTCAGTCTTCAAACAGCTCGGACCAAACTGTACATGAAAAAGTCCAGCTTCCGGAACTTGTGACCGATTTACCAAAGAACTCAGAATTGGAGACAAAATTTGCTGAATATGGAATAGACTGGACCACTGTCACAGTATTAGGAAATGGTGCTTCAATACAGACAGAAACAGTGATACAGTCTATTTTCAGTAAAGTGGACACATTTTATTGTTGCGCGACCTGTGGCAAGGTATTCTGGGAAGGGACACATTTTGATCGTGTGTGTGAGCAGTTTTCACATGTGCTAGGCACACAAGCAAAAGGACCAACTGTTTATGAAAAGTTAAATGAGAATTTCTCTTGATTATTTTAATTTGAAAATGTCCAAAAATGATGAATTTATAGATGCAAAACTATTGGACCAAAAGAAACATCATAGGATAGTTACAACTGTTTCGTACCAAGTGTTAACATGTTTATCTGTCGAAATTGAAATGACTTAATCTGATGCGATCTGTTTATAGAATTTGTTTTTATACAAAAATATTGACTGCAAAATCCCAATTTTTAGCGTTGTTTTCACTGTGATTAACTATGAAAATCAGTATTCTCCACTTTCTTGAAATTGTAGAAATTTTCTCAAAATAACAGAAATATCAATAAGTAAATCAAGTAGTGCTGAATTTATATCATTGTGTCGCCTTGAAAAGGTGACATATAGGGGTTACTTTTGTCGGCGGCGTCTGTGTCGGCGGCGTCGTTGTCGGCGTCCCCTAAAGCTTGTCCGGAGCATAACTCAGTCACTATAAGTCTGATTGACTTCAAACTTTGTATGCATGCTTCTTTCAATAACCCGAAGTGCAGTGCACAAAGACCGGTACTCTGCAGTTCTTAATTTTTGAGTTATTGCCCTTTGTTAATTTTCATACTTTAATTTTGTCCGGGCCATTTCTCTTCAACTAAAAAAGCTATGGACTTGAAACTTCATAGGATGATAGATCTCATTAAGAAAAAGTGCAGTGCACAAGAACAGGTACTCTGCATTTCTTATTTTTTGAGTTATTGCCCTTTGTTTATTTTCATACTTTATTTTGTCCGGGCCATTTCGCCTTAAGTATAAAAGCTATGGACTTGAAACTTCATAGGATGATAGATTTCATTAAGAAGAAGTGCAGTGCACAAGAATCGGTACTCTGCATTTCTTATTTTTTGAGTTATGGCCCTTTGTTAATTTTCATACTTAATTTTTGTCTAGGCCATTTCTCCGAAAGTATAAAAGTTATGGACTTGAAACTTCATAGGATGATGGATCTCATTAAGAAAAAGTGCAGTGCATAAGAACTGATACTCTACATTTTTTATTTTTTTAGTTATTGCCCTTTGTTGATTTTCTTACTTTATTTTTGTCGTGGTCATTTCTCCTCAAGTATGAAAGCTATGGACTAGGATGATAGATCTCATTTAGAAAAAGTGCAGTGTACAAGAACCGGTACTCTGCACTTATTATTTGTGTGTGATTACCCTTTATTAATTTTCATACTTTATTTTTGTCCAGGCTATTTCTCATAAATTATAAAAAATATGGACTTGAAACATCATAGAATGATAGATCTTATTAATAAGAAGTGCAGTGCACAGAAACTGCTGCTCTGCACTTATTAATTTATTAGTTATTGCCCTTTGTTATTTTTCATATTTCATTTTTCTCCTGGCCATTTCTCCTAAACTATATTGTTCACAAGGCAACACATCCGACTCGCGGAGTTCTAGTTATTTCATTAAAATAGTGTACACTGTCTATGTTTTCAAGAGTTGTGGCCCCTGAAATGGTCAAAATATTCTACCTTACAGCAGTATCATTTTTGGGGCGTCCGAGGCCGATTGGTTAAGGTTGTCGACTTCAAACCACTTGCCCTTCACCGCTATTGGTTTGAATCCCAACAGGGACTTTGGATTCTTTCATGTGAGAAAGCTATCCAGCTAGCTCATGGAGCGTTGGTGGTTCAACTCAACTGCCCGTTTGTGCCTGAAATAATGCACGAAAATGCAACTGAGGTCTTCTATCACCAGTAAAGCTGGAACGTTGCCATATGACACATACTGTTTTGTCGTGACGTAAAACCCAATCAAACAAACAAACAAGTATCATTTTCAGCTCTAATTTTAATCTATCACAGGCCCATACATCTTTCCTGAATGATAATTGAATTATGACCTTGTGTGAAGTTGTGCATGTAACAATCTTCAAATCTTCGAAACTAAAAAAAAACTTGTCAGACTTCTTGATCATAATTGAAAGAATTTGACAGTCCACAAAAATTGTATGTTTAATTTTCTGGTTTTCATTTTTTTGGTGTAATTAATACCATATTGAATAATGACCCATTGAATGGCTGCCACTTTTGTCAAGGGAGCTAAATATGGTTTACATGTTCCTATCACTTCTTTGCAGACATACTCGTGTTTGCAGGCCACTATTTTAGCTGTCTGCAGTACGAAAATACTTCTATACCAACACAATCTTTTTTAATAATGACTAAAAATCAATACTATTTTATCATTTATTTTATATACATTACAATGCATATTGAATATATTAATTTTGAATATTCTATAAACATTCAAAAATAATAAAAAAATCAGTAAAATGTGCTAGTAACATTTTCTTATTGTTTAACAAATTTATTTCCTGTTTACAAGAAAAAGACACAATATTGTAAAGTCCCTTGCTCATATTATACTGTAAAATTAAAGGAATCTTGGTTCTTATTTATGATATTCTCTAATACTTGAAATGTTTATGGATGATTGAATTTAAAACATAAGTTGTTTCTACATTTCAATTTATTATGTGTTTAATAAATATGACGCTGTTTGCCAACAACTTTTATAAATCTTATTTGAATTTTTCTTGTAAATCATAACATTACTGGTATACTATGTAATTTAACTACAGTAAATTCTCTCTATTAAGACCACTAACGGGACTGACTCAAAGTGGTCTTAATAGTGAACTGGTCTTAATAGTGAATAAGTCACTTTAACAGCTAACGAAGTCCAACTTAACTAAATGTATACCTTGTATAGTTTTGTGCACATAGTAAATGTACTTAATTAAATGAGTAACAAGAAACACATTTTTTTTTAAACAAAAACATTTTTAATGTATGATAATATGATACATCATTAATACATGTATAATGAAAATATTAATTTACGGCTAGTGTTTCAAGTTTCCCCTTCAGAAGAAAAAATATGAGGTATTAAATACAGTTATGACTCTCATTATAATTAGTATATCAATTACATATCGAAATAAAGCACACATGAACTGATAATTTGGTGTAATTACCAATTTTTACCATACTTGACATAAATTGTGATGCACAACAAACAATTTTAAATGCTATTCACCTGTTTATTACATCCTAATTACGCCGACAAATTAATCGTTTCTCACACCATAGCTGCTTAGATTAATTAGCCAGAAGTGGTTTAAACTGATCATGTTGACGCTTGAATGCTAAAGATACATCGTAAAGCAAGCGTCTAATCAATCGATATATATTAATGACCTCATTTGACCCGGTGTATTTGTTTACGCCAGAGGGAAGATTACGACAATTAATTGGGGGCAATAAACACCAAGTGATGTCTGGCCATTATGTTGCATGGTCGTATTACAGGTTAATGTTTTGATAAGAAATACACACAAATGTCTGACAGAAGTGGTCGTTATGCCGGATTAGAGACGTGGTCGGTATACTGGTCATTTTTCTCAATGAATAAAGAAGGCAAATATTTTGTACTTTTAAAAAGTGCCCGTAATAGTGGCGTGGTCCTATTTGTGGCGTGGTCGTTAGATGGCATTTTACTGTATTGTGTATTTCTTTACACATATTTAATCTAATATTGGCATACATATTGCGCGTAAAATATTCAATCATGTGATAAAAAGAATAACAATGATTGTCATTACTATATATAATGTGAAATTTTATTACATGCATAAGAATTTGTTATAAAGCTCCCAAGATACTGGTTTTATAAAAATTTCTTGAGAAAATCATTAATAAAATTGTATGTAAAATCAAAGCATAATTAACTATCCAAAATTATAAGCATAAAGTTGGATGTCAAAGCTGCATGTCTCCAGACAAGATAAATATTTCAAGAAAATCTGATTTTACAAAATGTACTAAGATTTTAAGAAAAGTAAAACGATTCAAGATTCAAGTAATAATTTACACGTTATGTGCAATTAATGACTGATTTTACAATATTCATTACCATATCTTTACTGCCTGATGAAAGCATTAAGGGCTGCTTTTGCATACTTGACTCTTGTTCGCTAATTGTATAATTATTCCTATGTTAAGTCTCCATATCTTGGTTTTTATTATGTTTTCATGATTTACATGAAAATTAACATGAATCTGGAGGCATATTGCCTTAAAAAAGGATAAGTTGTAAAGCATAGCATCAATATATAATGTATACACTATGTAATATGTACAAAATCTAAGAAGTAGATATAAAACAGTGGGTGAAAAACATAGAACACTCTAAAACTCATTGCTTAATTTTTATGAACTTAAAATTTTTCAAAATTATGAAATATAAATCAAATTATTCATTTCTAGAATTCTGATAATTACATTCTTTTGCAAAAAATAAGCGAACTATGTAAATACAAATGTCAATGAAAAACTTTGAAATTTTCATTTTACTACAACATAATACTAGTACTTCCTTGATAAATATAACATGTCTGCTATAAATTATATGTTCTCTTCAAAGTATGAAACAAAAAATACTTTTTGACAAGAAAAATGTTTGATTACTTAATCTTTTTTTAAAGTTATAATATTAAATATAGATACATATGGCTTAATTAAACACCTAAAAAGATTAACTTTTTAGTACATAAAAAGTTTATTGAATGCAACAGTAAATGTCTTAAGCTCAATAAATATAAAATGATAAAACATATATAAATTAATCTAGAATTATTAAAGCAGCATGCCTGCAGATTTATAAAAATTAAGAGGAAATACATGATCCAGTAGTTACTTCTTATAAGAGTTATACTAGCTTAAGTCATAGAAAATGTGCAGCTATTGAAAATGTGAACCAAAACCTTTTTATTAATAACACTGTGAGGGACATGAAAAATGCGCTGTATGCATAGTGAATATTTATAATAATATATTTTTAGATTCTAGGTGGTTTTATTTTTGGAAAATTTGTTTACTTATCTGTAGGTGTGCCAATTTAACGTTTTGAAGAATAACAAAAAAATATACAATTATCGTCACCACTGACATTATCTGCATGTATATCAATACACTTTTACCTTAAAATCACTTTGATTGCTTAAACATACTAAGATACTGGGATATTGTACAATTTGGAGTTTGAATTTATTACATCAGCAAAATTGCATCATTATTTTCAAACAACAAACTGTGCAATACAAAATAGTGCTATAGAAAAACTAAATATTGCTAATATATACATCGTAAGTGATAATTAATTTATTTACATGCATGCTACTATAATGACATCAATTACCTTATGATGTCAAACGACTTGTCAAAGTTATCTACTTCTAGATTATTTTTAAATCTTTTCTCTGAGTTAAGGTATAATAACATGTATTTTTATTGGGCACAATTGATAAAATATACAACTGCTCCATTAAAAATAGAAAAAACAATAACACAAATTAGTCACTTACATAATCTACATGTATATCAATAAACTTTCACTCTGAAAAACACTTTAAGTGCTTAAACATACTAAGATACCGGGGTATTGTACAATTTGGAGTTTGAATATATTACATCAGCAAATTTGCGTCATTACTTCCAAACAACAAACTGTACAATACCAATCAGTACTATAGAAAACTAAATATTTCTAATATATACATCACTAGTGATAATGAAATTATTTACATGTAACCAAAATGACATAACTATCCATATGGCGTCAGATGACTTGTTTAAGTTCTCTACTTCATTGTTATTTACAAATCTGTTCTCTTAGTTGAAAGATAATAACAATGCAATTTTTTTTAGACAAAATTCATAAAATATACAACTGTGCTCAGAATTAGAATTGAAGTTTGACAACTTTGAGCAAAACTTCTAAATTATGCATAAATAGGCCTAAATTATAATAAATAGGTCTATATTCATATGTGTTTTGTTTAAATAAGGAATACTCAAAATCCAAACACAATTCCACGTGCAATGCTTCATTTCGATTGTATTCTTTATCTTTATTGTATTCTTTAACATTTGAACTGGAGAATATTCTTTATTTTTCACTTTAAAGTCGTTAAGGTAATTTACTATTATACCGCTCATAAAAAAACAAAGCATTTTAAATATTCAACAGCGGTCCTTGAATGTAAATTTTCTGGTAGATGCAAGCATTTCCCACGTTTATTGTGATACAACAGTTAAATGTTTTTGTTTAGTATGTGGCTGCTTCTGTTCTTTTAACTGAAGATGTCATTCTTTTCTGAAAAATAAGATTGAGACAGCATTAAACGCTTAACAAAAATTTATTGTGTAGGAAAATGGTGCAAAACATTTGTATCTTTAGAGTAATTTTGTTTGATTGTCAGTCACAGCAAAACCAACACTACCTAAATCTTGCTGCAAAATTCAAAACTTAGTTTTATGATTCTGGAAGCAAACTCTACCAGTAATCTATAGTTTAAAGAAGTTGATATGCATGGCTGCTTAATGTAAAAGTGGATAGTTTCTGGTTTTAAACCTGCTGAGC